GTTAAGTAGTATTATTATAATAGTAGTTAAATTATATAATAAAATAAAGCTTTTACGAGCTGCTTAGTTATGTAGCTGGGATAACTTTTTTAATAGCTTAGCTGCTGTTATTTAGGCTGCTGCTGCTGCTGCTGCGGCTACTGCTGCAGCTGCTTCCCTATCCCCGGCAAGATCCTTCTCCCTTAGTGTTTTCTCCTCCCTTAGATTTCTTCATAGACAATTATAAAAATTATGAGGCGCATTAACTACCAGCTTTAACCTTTATTATTATATAGGTGTATTAAATACTTATATTTAGCCTCTGGCTGCCTTGTTAGATTAAGGTTAATAGGGAAGGCAGGGATTATGTTAAAGCTGCTGCTGTGCTTAGCTATATATTAGAATTAGGCCCTAATATTAGCTATAGGGTAAGATTAATAGGAGTTTTGCGGTTTTAAGGAAGTTTTAGCCTTTTATATAGGTTTTTAATAATATTAGGGTTTTTAATTTTAAGGAGTAGCTTATTTAGATTTTATAACGCTAGGTTAGTAATTTTTATATAGAAAATAATAAGGAGAATTACTAAAGGCTTATTTAACTATTATCTTAGGTAGATAATTTCTTTTATTAATAGGATATTAGTTAAAATAACCTTTTTTATAAGATAATAAGCGTATAAAAGGGTATATTATTACGTAAAGTAGTAGGAAGCTATATATAGTAAGAGTTTTCTATTGCCTTTAACTATGGCTTTTACTTAGTAATATTACTATATAAGGAGGTTAATGGCAGCGTAGCTAACTTATATTAAGATTAATCTTAACTATTTTTTATTAATAAAATCCTACTGTAACTTAATTTTTTAATTTACAGCTATTTAAAAATAGTCTTACTTTTTTTTAGCTATTATTTAAATAAGAGCTTTATGGAGATAAAATAGATTACTTATGCTAGTTAAGAGATAGTTTTTAATATTTTTATAAATAGTTTTAGTTAAATTATTTATTCTTTAACTAAAATTTTAATATTATTTAATATAGTATTATAAAAACTGGTTAATTAAGGGAAAATACTTATTTAAAAAATAGTTAATAATACTACTTTAGTTATTACTAAAGACTGCCCTTAGTATATCCTAGGCCTATTTAAAATTACCCTTTTTTTTAGTATAGATAACTTTACTTTAGGCCTACTTAAAGCTAGCCTTATTATACTTAAAAAAAGGCTTTATAAAGCTAGAAAATAAGGTTACTAGCGCTATAGCCTTAGGGGTAAGTTTATTAATAGTAGGGTTAAGGGAGCTAGTAGTAAGGCTATTAATAGTAAGACTTTTTATAGTAAGGCTATTAGTGGTAAGGCTATTAGCGGCGAGGTTACTTATAGTAGTAGGATTATTAGCAGCAAGGCTGCTTATAATAGTAAGGTTATTAGTAATAAACTTATTAGTACTTTTTTTTTACTTTAAAGTTATTTTAGCCTTAATATTTATATTAATATAATATAGGTAAAATTACTGCTGTGTATTTAGAAAAATGCGTTTTAGGGCCTTTTTTAGCATTAATTTCTTATTTATAATAATAATATTAAGTAAAGGAATCTTAAGCTGCTGTTAAAATATATTTAGCTAGTTATAAAGTTAGTTATAACTTTTAATTTTCTTAGTATTAACTAAGCTAAAAGTAAAGTTTATTATAGAATTTTAATTTATAATACTAGTTATTTAAAATAAGTATATTTTAAATTTATTAATTTTATAAGTATTATTTAGACTAAGAACTTTTAGAAATTTCTTTTATATAACCTTATACTAAGGGTAGGTTTAGAAGATTATTTTTACTTTATAATTTTTATTATAGTAGATAATATAATAAAGCTTTTATTATTAAAGAAGATTTATTTACTATTATATAAGCGTAAGTTCCTTAAGTTATAACTATTAAATAACTTAATAATTATTATAAATATTTTTTAGAAGGAAATATAAAGGCCTTTAACTTTACGTATATATAATCTTTTTTATTTTACGGGCGCTAAGTGCCTTATATTATAAAAGTAATTTTTTAAATTTAAACTATTTCTTTATATAATAATAATATATTATATAAGCTAATAAGTTAAGGGAGGTATTATAATTATATTAGCCCTTAGAGATTTAGAATATTTACTTTTAGTTAGATTTCTTTATAATTAAGACTATTAACTTAAATAAGTAATTAATTTTTTTTATTTTTACTTTTTAAAAGCTTTTACTAACTAAAGGTTATATTAGACTATGGTTATAGAGAAGAAGATAATATATTATAATTCTTTTACTATTAATTTTATAATAGTTAGTAGGCGACTTTTTAATTAATATTATGCTATAGTTATAATAGTAGCTTTAAAGAAAGTTAAATAAGTCCTAGAAGGAGTTAAACTCTCTTCTTAGTAGTAGAGGAGAGATTAGTTTTATAATCTCTTTATTAAAGGCGTTAGTGGCTTTATTATAGTTATTTAATGCGCTAGCGGCTTTTATTTTATTAGTAGTAGGAAGGAGATTATTAGTAATATTTTTTAAGGGAGGAAATTTATTACCTAAAGGGCTAGGGTAATAAATTTTATTAAGGAAGGCATTAGGGTAAAGATTTTTCTTATTTATTATTACTTAATTTATTATAGCTGGCCTTAGTGTTTTTACTACTATAAGTTTTAAGTTATAATTTTGAAGTTCTTATAGCTACACACTGTATTTTAGTGGGCTAGGCTGGCTTAGAAGTAACCTTCCCGGATCCGGTTAGGTAAGGTGGAGACTAATGCCCGAATAGCAAAAAGGTAATGCCCGAATAGTAATACTTATTATTATATACAGAGTATAGGGTCGCTTTCGCTCACATCATGTAAGACAAACGTCCGTAGTTGGAAGCTTACATCGGGATAAAATGCCACTACAGCCCGAATATAGATTGGGGGCCCTTTTCATGTGCCGAGAAATCAAGCAGGGCGCATCCCTGCTTCTCGCAACTGGAGACGCCCATCATGCAAATGGTACGAGTAACTGGGTCTGTGACACCCAACAACATGTAGGGAGCAGTTTTTCTCCCAAGGCACCGGTAATGGGGCATTTTGGGGGGGACGATGGTAAAACTCGGAGGGCAGAGCAGAATAGGTACTGGGATTCTTTACCCACCGTCGGATGTATAAAAAGTGATCCTCGCGGGGGCCACTTGTGTTAGTTACCGTACGAGATACGCAGATGGAATAATACCCGATTCAATGTACATGTAGATTACGCATGAAATTTGATAATTACTTCGTACAGAGACGGCAACAAGGAGATCCAACAGCATCACTTAGTCCCGCATCTACCGCCGATAGTCTTGTTTTCTCATCATCTCCCTTTGTTTCCCCCCTTCAAGTATGCCGAGGGCGGCACCGACACACGGGGCGGACATGCATGTGTGGCCACGACTCAAAACGCCCTTGTCCGTTGCTCATTGGGCCAAAGGCCACAAAGCTCGTTTGTCACTGAATAACACATACTGTCCTGTCCTCGCCCCCAAGAAAGTGGCGTCTTGCAACCCGCCATCTACCATCTGCCCCAACCCGGAAACGCACACGCGCCGCCCTCCCCAAGCACAAATCCCGGGCTTGTTCGGCAAGGGTTATGCGGGCTTTGGGGGGGAGAGACGGGACACACGGCTTGTTTTCTCTTCGGCTTTGGTGCCAGACTAAAAAAAAAAAAAAAAAAAAAAAAAAGCAAACCAAGAGACAGGACGAAGCTTCTTCTTTATGCTGGCGCATGGCATGGGTAGGCGGGACAAGGAAAAGACAACATCAAACTAGCCCCCACTGGTCCCAGACGTCTGGGTCTTGATCCGACGCTGCCAAAAGGCTCTCTCGGCCTTATCCGCCACCCGCCTACTCGTACATAAGATGGGGGTGGGAATGACAGGGTGGTCTCTTTGGCGAGGGAGCGAGGTTGGGTCGTATACATACAAGGTGGTGTGTGTGTGTGTCCAAAGAAGCTGCTTTTGTGAGTGTTGCCGTAGAACCTGTGCTCTGTTCACCATCCAGTCCGAGTTGAAAAAGTTGTAGCCATTGCAATTGTCCTCTCTCTGCATGAATCGTCTCTGGCTTGAGCGTTGCGTTGGTCCCGCCACTTCATGTTGTCGAGTCTTCTTCTGTCCAGCTTCCCGGGACTTGGAAAAGGCAAATGGTCTGACCAGATCACATGAAACCCAGTGACCCCCTTGCTGTCGAGCTCTGCTACCCTCTTCACCCTCTCTCTGGCTTTTCCCGCCTTTTACAATCAGGCGGTCGGCTCTTTTCTCTTTGTTTGTTCTTGGGGGCAACGACATCCGAAGCCTCAATTCTGGCGCTTGCGTTTCCAGTCCAAACTAGATCCTACTAGCTGTCCTCTCCAGCTAGAGGCACAGCTTCAGGCCGATCTAGTTCAAGCCAAGATTTCAAAGAAAACCGCCCCGGGAAGAAGGACAGCGAGTCCCCAAAGAGGAAAAGAAGAAAAGGCAAATTCGACCAGGCTCCGACCCCCCTGTCAGTTTTTTTTGTTTGTTTTTTTTTTTTTTTGGTTTCTGGACACTGTTTATACTATACTAGCACAGAGCAAAGCTTGTCTTCTCATTCGAGCTCTGCGGCTACGCACCATCTCGGATCTGGCTGGCTTGAGATCTCTCCCATTCGTTACCACCTGCTTGGGTCCGAGTTGCTGGTGTGGATGTCCTGCGTCGAGTTGCTTGTTCTTTTCAGATTTATGCTTTCAACTAGTTTCGCCGCTGCTCGAATCTCTTCAGCTCTCTGCTGTTGCTACTGGTATTAGTGTTCTCGGTGACTATCTAGTATTTACGGCGTCTTCGTTTCATCTCATTACGAATTGTTTCCGGGGGCCGACTTCTACCTATACGATTAATACCTTTTGCTTCCCATCCATGAGTTTGAACCTCTAGCCATTTGCCTCCATACTCCTCACCGACATTCCTACTTCTTTATCTCACTTTCAGGGTTACCTACATACCTGATTCACAATGGAAGACGAGTCACAGCCACCGCCCGTAAAGGACGATGGCCAAGCTATCTCGGCGCTGGAAGGCTACCAGTTCACTTTTGGCGTTTCTGCCCCTAGCTCATCAGACGATAGCTTCATTGAACCAGATGCACGTTCTTTCCCATGATTTCTCACTCATTCCCTATTTTCATTTTAACCTTCGAGATGATAATAATTAACACTAACCTTGTTAGCCTCAGGCCGAGAGCATGTACACGTAAGTTGACGCCCTCGATCCGTTTCCCAAATCCTCATCTCAGCCTCGTGCTGAGGCAGCCCCCAGGCATCATCATCAAGCTAATCACAATTCTCAGGTTGGATTCGTCCTCATTATCCGATAGTGTCATGGATTTCCCACGGCAGTTTGGCCGGACCTATCATGCGTATAAAGAAGGATGTAAGATGAAACTCACCTTGAACCACGATGACGCCACTTGGCCGAGAAACCTAACTTGAATACTTGCAGCATACGCTTTCCCAAATGACGAAGTAGAACAAGAGCGGCTAGCCTTGCAGGATTGTGCCTTCACCAAGGCGATGTGCGACAAGCTCTACTTTGCGCCGCTGGATGATCATCCTCCCAGGCGAATCCTCGACATTGCTACTGGCACGGGGGACTGGGCCGTGTCAATGGGCGATCGCTTCCCAAATGCCATCGTTACAGCTACGGACTTGTCACCAATCCAACCCGAGGTCGTCCCGACGAATGTGGAATTTTATGTGGAAGATTCGTGAGTATCTCTTCCCGTCTTCCCCTTCCATCACGCTTCTGTTTCAATATCAGCAGTTTGTGATTGAATAGCGATACTGCTCGTCAAATACTAACTATTGGTGCTTGATGCGATCTTGATAGCTCCGAACCTTGGAATTACAGCGATGAATATGATTACATCCACACCAAAACAACAGGCGGCTGCTGGGAATCCTACGAGACACAGATTGCGCAACAGGCCTTTGAAACACTTTCCCCAGGAGGCTGGTTCGAATCCCAAGAGTGCGACTCGGTACCTTGCTGCGACGATGATACGCTCAAGCCGGACAGTGCATTGGCGTCATGGTTCCAGGAGTTCCTCCACGCCGGAGAGGAGGCTAAACGGCCTCACACGGAAGGTTGCAAGCTTAAAAGCATATATGAGCGCGTTGGGTTTGTCGATGTTCACGAGCGGAGATTCAAGGTTCCTCTAAATGGCTGGCCCAAGGACCAGGGTCTGAAGGAGATTGGGAGGCTGATGGAGCTGAATATGCAGATGGGGCTGAGTGCGTTTTCGCTGGGCCTTTTCAACCGCATCTATGGACGGACACCTGAGGAGATTGAGGTATCTCTGGTTGAAGTCCGGCGAGACGTGTCGGATCCATCGATTCACGCATACTTGCCTATTTTTGTGGTTTGGGGGAGAAAGCCATTTCCAGGAGAACGGTGACGATACAAGAAGAATGTTCCATGGCTAACATTCCCCTTTCTTCTCCCTCCTTTTTCTTCCCTCTTTTCTTTTGTTTTCTATTCTACCAAGATAGCATGTTATAAGGCACTATTAGCAAGATAGCTCGGCGTTGGGAATAGAACCAAACTACAAGATGAGTTTGGTGGGGATATATGCTTCGAGATTTGCCTTTGTTACCTACAATCATATGCCTGCTGTGTCACGGGGGGAAATTACGTCGAAATTGAATTATATGCTGGATGGAAAAGTAACTCGGCTAGAGCAAAGGCCTAGGTTGTTCCAGGTCTTGGAATTTCCATTACTTCAAAAAAAAAAATTGGCAAATCAATTGATTCTACATGTCACCTAGACACAAGACCAGAGCTTCCCACATTCTCAGAGATGATATCAGTGCTTAACAAGCCACTCCAGCGCCTTAGCCTTGGCTTCCGGAAGAACTTCCACCAACCGTTGGTGAGACAGAAACTCGTGATCAGCGTACTCGAACCCAGGCGTAACAGTCTCCGAGATGAGCAGGCCACCGCTGCCAGACTGGCCATCCTCGTCAGGGAGGAGGAAGCTCGCCTTGAACACGCCACCCTCCACAACCCACTGCAGTTTCTCACCGCGTTCAATGTTGGGCCCTACAACAAAGGATTCCACGCGGCCATCCGGGTGGATAAGAACGTAGCGGCCACGGCCTCGATGGAGAGTATGAATGATGCGGCTTCGGTTCCGGTGGAACGAGCCTTGAGGCCGGTTGGGGGTCAAATAGTAGAAGATTGTCGTCGAAAGGCGGCGGAGCGCGTAGTCGAAGTCCTCGGGGAGGCCATTGACGAGGTCGATGGTATGCTGGGAGAGAGGCGTGGCCGGGTACGGGGAGGGGATCTTTGTGTTGCAGACGTCTGTGACTGCGAAGTAGCCTCCTTCGACGTGCTCGATGAGGGAGAGGGAGCTGATGGTTGACTTGACGGCGGCGGATTCGGAAGATGAAGATGGGGTGAAGGTTGGGACGATTGAGGCGAGGGTTTTGGAGTCCTCGTCGTGTTGTTGTGAGGCACTCATGGTGAAGATTTGTTTGGTTGTAAAGTCGCCGGTAGTTTTGGAGCGGGGGATGAGGGTTTAGTTTGGAACTGGCAAGGCTTGTGGGCTCCAGTGTGTGTATATAAAGGATTTGAGTTGATGGTGAGTTGGAGGATAAGAGAGGCTTAAGAGTACGGATTACATGTGATTTCTAAGACATTGATGTTGGTGCCTTACTACCCCGTTGATGCTATCAAACGTTTTACGCTTTGTGATTGCATCATCTCTTACATGCCTTAGTACCTAACAGGTCATTCCCGGACACGGCCCAATCCCACATAAGCCCTTGTCGCGTCGCCGCTTAGCTGGTGATTTGTGAGCGGTAGCGAGATGAACAAGAGGATGAAACGCAAGCAAGCGGATTGCCCAGAAAGGAAAAAGATGGAAAGATAAACAGGAGCCGCAAAGTGATAAACAAGTGTCTACATGAGGAGAATGCGACCACAGTTCTGGATATATGAGTTTAGTGTAGTGTAATGGGTATGCGGATTGTCCGTTTCTGTACCGTAGAACCTCGCAAAACTCGTTTGTAAACCCCCTGAACAAAGAATAAAACCAAGCATGTGAATTCTGATGATCGATGGGGAGTACGGCGAGAGCATCGGAGAATTGCCACGGCGAGGATGGCTGATCTGCGGGCCGTGTGGTCAGTTATACGCTGGCTGCACTAACACGCCATCAACAGGTGCCTGTTATCGGAACTGACGTAGCTGTAGCCGCTCTACGCAAGACATCCCGCTATCAATCGAAACCCGACTTGTTCCTCTTCATCTCGTCTCTGTACGATTAACCCAACAAACCCCCGGCGACGCCGCTTTTCCGCAAAGAGGCACCGGCTGGGGGGAAAAGCAGCAGCAGCGAGAGCACGCGAGGGGAATTGACAAGACGGAACAGAAAAAGGACCAAAAACCCCGCGACATGATCCCCCGCCATTTGCTCCGGGGAAGCGGCCTCGTGCGGTCATCGGCTCCGGCCCCTCGCAGAGTCGTCGCGGTGCTGCGGCCAATTGCTCGACGGGATGCCATCTGTTGGTGTGATAGCTCCGGTTACGTGTCGAGTCGATCGATTCACGACGATGCTCACGGCCGCCTGCGCAACGCAAAGCCGCTCGTGTCCAAAGCTCTCGCCGGCAAATTCACCAGCGCCGGCACCGGCCGCCACTCGCGCGCCCTGGTCGTCGTCTCGGTCGTGGCCGCCGTGGCGTTTTACCTGTACAACTCGCAGACGGTGCCGGTGACGGGACGCAGGCGCTTCAACTTCCTGTCGGACGCGCTGGTGGCGCAGGCGTACTCGAGGGCCGCCGATGCGATTGTGCGGCAGGTGGAGGAGCAGGGCGGGCATTTCTTGTCCGACTGGGACCCGCGGACGATGCTGGTGCAGAGAGTCATGAGGCGGCTGATTCCCGTCAGCGGCATGGACGACTTGAAGTGGGAGGTTCGGGTGATAGCAGACAGCCGTGAGGGTTTCCTTCCACGTCCATATCCTGGTGCGCTACGATGCCAACGCTTACACTCTCCGCAGGGACTGCGAATGCCTTTGTCATCCCCGGCGGTAAAGTCTTTGTCCACAGCGGCATCCTCAACGTGTGCCGCAGCGAGGATGCTCTCGCCGCGGTGCTGGGCCACGAAATCGCACACAACACGGCCTCCCACGCCGCAGAGCGCCTCTCCGCTGCCTGGGTCGGCAACCTCACGGCCGGCAGCCTCTTCTTCCTCGCAGGGGCTCTGCCGGGCCTTGCGCTGTTTGGCCTGTGGAACGTCATTGGGGGCTACTATCTGCAGGACCTGCTGTTCTACCTCCCCATGGGCCGCAAGCAGGAGAGCGAGGCGGACTACATTGGGCTGATGATGATGGCCGAGGCTTGCTACGATCCGCGCCAGGCAGTTGGGTTCTGGCAGAGGATGGAGACGATTCAGCGGCTGGGCGGGCACGAGGTTCCCGAGATGCTTAGCACGCATCCATCGGTGAGTTATTGCACGTGTGAATTGCTTTTCTTCAAGTTGCAGTGAGCGGCTGAGCTAATATGACGTCTGTCTGAACAGAACGAGCACAGGATCGCCAAGATTGAGGAGTGGCTGCCGGAAGCGATGAAGAAGAGGATGAACAGCGACTGTAGAGCGACATCTGCGTTTGCGGACCGGTTCAGAGAAGCATTGCGGAAGAGACGGCCGGTGGTGATTGAGCTCTAGTGCCACGTAGAACGTATGTACAAGTAGACTTTGGTGTAATACATGGACCCGGATCAATCCATGTATCACTAATACGATTATTCTTGAGTTTTCCATGTGTATTGTCCGTATTATAAAGCGTCATCACCACCGAGACGGACTCACGAGAACCTTTTGCAATCCGCGTCTGCTGATTCGTCAGACCACCGCCAAAACAACCCCCCCCATGAACCCCCTGTAATTCCCCCGGACTGCGCACTGAACCAAGCTGGCATAGCGGACCCTCTTTGCCTCTCAGCATGGAGACCGTGCCGAGGTAACTTTTTGCCGTGATTGTCCCTTTTTCTACGAGCTCGAGTCTTGACATGATTCCTTCTTCCGTCATTCCACCCTCTCACCTGCTCCCATCTCTGCCCGTTTTACGCATTTTCGAGCCATAAGATCATTGCATTCGCAAGCGTAAATTCTTCTGCGCCCCCAAAGAAATAAAACCAGCAAGCAAAGCAAATACAGACCTTATCAAAAAGACAACCAAAATGGCCGACAAGTCCTTCACCACCGCCGAGGTCGGCTCGCACAACAACGACGACAAGGGCTACTGGCTCATTGTCGAGAACAACGTCTACGACGTCACCAGTGCGCTTCTTCCCCCCCCCCCCCTTTTCTTCTTTCGAACGATGGACTTGTTCGAATAATCGAGCAAGGCGCTTGAAGCTAGAAGTAAAAAAAAGCCTAAAGAAACTAATGCGGAATCCCCCTTTCTAGAGTTCCTCGACGAGCACCCCGGCGGCGCAAAGATCCTCAAGCGTTTCGCCGGCAAGAACGCGACCAAGGCGTTCTGGAAGTACCACAACGAGAGCGTGCTGGAAAAGTACGGCGGCAAATACAAGATTGGCAGTGTCCAGGAGGCTGCGAAGCTGTAAAAAAAAACAAGGGAAATATAGTGTCGATTTTCTTATGATTTTATTGTGTCAAGGTGGAGAGGAACTTGCTTTTTCTAGGCGTTTTTTTTTTATGAAATGGGTAGACAGTTTGGATACACACAGCCTTTGGTGTCTGTCTGAATGCCGAAACCTGGGGTTTTTCATCCCGATTTACTCTTCTTTTTCCTTTCCTTCTTCTCAATTATCGTGTACTTTCCAAAGCTTGGGAGTGTCCGCTGCTAAAGTCAAGACACCGGCCTGAGAAGGACTCCTCAACGGACTTGACGGTGAAGCGGCACATGCGGCATCATGCCCGCCGCTGCGTGATTCCCGAGCCGGTGCCGGATCCTGACGGCCGGGAGAGAAAATCACGTGTAAGAGAACGGAAACACAACAAGGTGCTCACAAAAACAGCAAAACGTGGCCGCCATTTGCTACCAACAAGTTTCGTGACTAATGGGTGGATGGGATAATGCCAATTGGGTGCTAAAAAGGCGACGCTGACCGTTTCTCGCCTTATACCGCTTTGGGCCATCGTGCTGGTGTGCAGCTTTTGCGAGCAAAAACCGCGAGAGAAAGACTTTGCGATCCCCAACTTATGACCTAAAGCACACATGTGGAGAATCATGACCATTGTTTTTACCAATCGTTCAAGCTACATGTATAATATAAATGCCATTGATGCTTCTCTATTGTTTCCGTTCCGTCTTCTAGCTTTGCCTTTTCCATTATAATTGCTAGTTATACGCCTACATCGGCGGGGCAATTGGCATCTCGCTCATTTCAACTCTCATACAGTTCCTCACTTACACGCCTCCCCAATCGTCACCATGTCTGACCTTTTCGACATTGGCGCCCAATCCGTCCGTCTCCAGCAGCGAGAGTTGCTCCAGTCATCCCTCCCCGAGAGCCAGACACTCCCGCCTCTCGCACTCATTCACGCTGCCTCAGCCAGCCTCCCCAATCCCTCCGACCCAGGTTTCCTTTCCGGCCAGCCTGCTGCCGACGTCGCCCGACATATCACGCAACATATTGTACCTGCGCTATGCGGCCAGTCACAGTCGAGCCGATATTTCGGCTTCGTCACTGGCGGTGTCCTTCCGCTGGCCGAATGGGCTGACAATGTCGTCTCCCATATGGACCAAAACGTGCAGGTCCATCTCCCGGAGCAGTCCGTGTCCACATCCGTCGAGAACGCCGCTCTGCAGATGTTGATAGGCCTGTTGCGCCTGGAATCAGAATGGAAGGGCCGCACATTCACCACGGGAGCCACTGGTAGCAACGTCCTCGGGCTGGCGTGCGGGCGTGAAGCTGTTCTTCAGAAGATGGGCGCGTCGGTGGGCGAGCTCGGCCTGTTGGGCGCTTGTGTCAAGGCAGGAGTCTCTGAAATTCAGATCCTCACCAGCGGAGGCCATAGCTCGCTCTCCAAGGCAGCGAGCGTGGTTGGCCTGGGGAGGGCATCCGTAAAGGAGCTTCCTCGAAGTGCGGCCCAGCCATGGAAACTAGACCTCGACGCCGTAGAGAGAGAATTGAGTCGCCCCGGGACAGCAAGCATCATTGCCGTTAGCATGGGAGAGGTGAACACCGGAGGCTATGCGCTCGATAATATTGACGAGTGGAAGAGGTTGAGGCAACTAGCCGATCGTCATGATGCTTGGATCCATGCCGATGGAGGTATGTTTGAACCACATATGCTGGGAACCCGATTGCCAAGGGGTTTCAGTACTAATAGTTGCCATTACAGCGTTCGGCATTTTCTGTAGTGTTTTGGATGACCGAGATGAATACCGGCTGCTTCGCAATCGCGTCAAAGGCATCGACCTGGCCGACAGCATCACAATCGACGGCCACAAGATGCTCAACGTTGTATGTGAAACGTCTTTGCTTCTCCAATCCCAATCCGCTGACATCTTCAGCCGTACGACTGCGGCATGTTCTTCACCCGCACCTCATTCATCCTAGAATCCGTATTCGTCAACCCAAACGCCGCATATCTCGCCTCGGGCCCAGCTGCCAACATCTCGTCTCCTCTCAACGTAGGCCTCGAAAACTCGAGACGTTTCCGCGCACTGCCCGCCTACGCCGTGCTCCTCAGCGAAGGACGTCCCGGCTTCGCTCACCTGTTTCACAACATGACCCAGCTATCCCGCAAGCTGGCCGTCTTCCTGCGAGAGTCGCCGTATTATGAGTTGCTGCCCAACGAAAGCGGCGACATTGAAGAGATTTTCATAATTATTCTGTTCAGGGCAAAGGACAAGAAGCTAAACGACGAATTGGTGGCGAAGATTAACGCGACGAGGCAGCTGTACGTAAGCGGGACCAGCTGGAAAGGCGAAAAGGCTGTGAGAGTCGCAGTGTCGAACTGGAAGGTCCATGTCGAGCGGGATTTCAAAGTGGTGACAAGGATTCTGAATGATGTTGCCGAGGGAAGAGAGTTTGATATCGAGAAATGTGTATCGTAAAAAAGAGAAAGAAAAATAGTCGTTGAAAAATCAATATCGCTCGCAATCCAAATATGTCGCCTTGTCCCAATCCCTCTCCTCCCATACCACCCAGCGCCCATTCCCCCATTTCCAAGCTCTTTCTTAGCCAAACTTCTTTGATCCTCCCTTCTGCGACAGCTTCTTGCTCCCCTTCTTTCCGGGCCCAATCAACTCGAGATGGCCCGCTCTCTCGCCCAGCAGCGCCTCCGTCTTGGCTACCATGCCCGAAGTGAACTTCTTGAGCATCTTGTCGGCGTTGACCTTCTTCTTGGGCTTGGTGACCTTGGAGGCCTGGCGCTTCGAGTGGACGGCCTTTGGCGCGGCGGCCTTGTTGGACTTTTTGATCGAGCCCTGCGCCATCTCTTTCTGTGTATTATTCCCTTTTCCTTGTTTCCCAGCGTCCGCTCACGATTTGCCGTGTTGTATAGCTGCGAATCGTCGTTCGGCTGATTCGATGCGTGGTGGGGAAAGACAAAGCTGGTGGGAGTTTTTTTTTTTTTTTTTCCTTTGGCCGGTCTGATAACCGATAAGCGTAGACAGGCACCACACCACCACTAGCACTTTGCGCTAGAAGATTGACGGAATATCCGGTGAGTGATTGGCAAGTATAAGAGAACACAACTTCAGTAACATGTAGGCCTATTAATAGAAAATCATATTTTAATCCAATTCTAATCCCAACGCCGGCTTCGTTTGTCACATACAACAGCTGTTATCTCACACGCATCCCAAATAGAAAAAAGTACAACTATTGCCTGGCTATCGCTATCCATCACAATGGGAAATCTGTCAATCCTTCAACTTCGCCAAACTACCAACCATCCCCCCACCCATCGTCGTCGTCGTCTGCTGCTTTCGGTGCCAGATCAATCTTCTTAGCGGCTGCAGGCTTCGCAGCCGGTTTTGCCACAGGCTTCGCCACTGTCTTTGTCACAGGTTTCTTAGCCGTAGTAGTCTTCGATAGTCCCTTTGGCAATGGCTTGCTCGGCCCCTTCTTTGCTTGCGCCGCTAGCCATCCCGCAAAATCGGGCTCGTCTTCGCCAAAGGGCGTCGCGGACACGGTTGTTGATGCATTGGCAGCTGCAGCAGGCGTCTCAAAACCGTCATCGTCTCCCAAATCACCCCAAGCGTCACCTGCGTCATCATCGTCGTCGGGTAGAAACTGCCCAGCTATCGCACTGGCGACACCAGGTGTCGATGGGCCTGATGCTGGGCCAGGAGATGTCACGGCCTGGCGGTGAAGAGATGACGCAGATGCTGTAACCGGCTTCTTCACCTCAGTTTCGGGTAGTGGAGAAACGGGAGCCGGGCTTGGGCTATTGGCAGTTTGCATGTCCCCAGCCACAGCAGTAAGCTTGTTTGTGAAGGATGAAATGGCCCAGCCCGCCCAGCTGCTCCCGGAAGATGCGCCTGGTTGTACCGTGCTCCCCTGAGCAGCAGAGGCATCGGCCGATTGGGGTGGGGGTAGAGCAGTTTCAGGCATGTCAGCAGCTGCTTTGCGGACTTTTTGCAAATAGATGTCCATAGTTTTCGAGGCTTGGTCCCGGATCACCTTTTCCTTGTCAATCAAAGCCGGGCATATGACTGGTAAAACGCGGTTGGCGCTATCGTCCTCGTTGAAATATTCGGCCGTTGCGGCGAGTGCCATGAGTGCCGCATTTCTCGCGTGCACAAAGGGGTCGCGCAAGGAACGTGTAAAAGCAGCTATCAACACTTTGGACCTTGAAGATGTGCCGAGATTTTTAGCAATTTTGCCGAGACAGATGGTGGTATTTGTGCGAATGCCAGGCTGTTCATCGTTTGCCGTCTTTGCCAGCTGCTTCAGAAGGTCGCCGTTGATAGTGCGGTCTGAGAGCTTGCCAATGACAACCAACACGGATTTCAACGTCTGCTCTCGAACAACCGGCGTCACATCTGTGAACCCAGTAACCTAATGCCATCATTAGCACATCAATTCTCACAGCAACAAAGGATGGTCGCTTACTAGTTGGGGGAAGATCTTGTCATTGACGACTCTCTGTGATAACTGATCAATGATGAGGGGAAGGCTGTCCAGCAGGCACACCCGAATGCCCCGATCAGGATTCGCAAAGGCCCGAATAATGAAAGGCGTAATCTTCAACTCAAAATCGTCAGAGGGCAGCTTGGCAGCTATTTTCAGCACGACGGTGAGGGCTTTGGGACCACCGCCGCCAAATTCAACCGACTTGACGAGTTCTGGGAGGACTTTGGCTTTGAAAAATTCTTCAGGAAAATCATCCGTTACTTTTTCCAAATCGCTGGCGTCGCGAGTTAGACAAGAGCAATGCATACGATACAAGGGATATGTCTTACTTGAGAAACTCCTCCCGCTCATCAGGGTTCTTCACCCCTAGATTCTCTATCCCGTCTGTCAGGTGAATCAATGGAGTATCGAAGAATGAGCCCGATCGGCGTCCAAGGTCCAGAAAATTGCCGGCACTGATCCGCGCTTTGGGGTTGGCGTTGCAGAGGCGTTTATAGCTGGTCTGCATGGACGGGGGTATGTTTTTGGTTTGGCCAGCTTGGTCTGGGCCGTGAAAGTCGCCATTGAAGACTTCAAAGATGAGAGTTCCAAAATTGAACGAGTCTACGGCGTAGGTAGGATGCGCCTTTGTCGCGGCCCATCCGGATTGAGCCACCTCTGGCGGCGCATACCGACCAGAGTCGGGAACTAAGCTTCCGAAGCTCTGAGCACACGATTAGCTATTCTTCATATCCCGCCTTGGCGTACTATGCGACTTACATCAAGAGTAGATTCGCTTTCCTTGACATTACTTAGAACCTCGAAACCTCCCAGTTTCCACTCTCCGCTTTCTGTGGTGTATATTGAGCCGACTCTCAGGCTGCCGTGTTTTGAAGTCGCATCGTCATTGATGAATTTGAGTGTTTGCTGCAGCACAATCAGCATTCAGAGCTTTCGGATGAGACTCCAACACAATTCCTACAGCGACAGTATATAGACCCCATTTGATCGTTTCGGGGCTCAAGCTCTTCCTTCGAACGTGCCATCGAAGAGGAGTGACGCGCTCGGTAGCGATGTAGATGTACGTGTCTGTCTGGTCGCTCAACAGTCAGCTTTCGGGGCGCATCCGTGGTGGTCGCATCGCATACCTCGACAGTGTCCAGCACCTTGATGACTCCAGGGTGCCGCAACGTGCGCAGCTTTCTCAGCGCGTTCTTTGCAAGAGGCAGCAGGCTCTTCTTTGCTGTGCTATCGAACGAGAATATACTGCAGTTCGAGCCATCCTCCTATTACTCGCGACTATTAGTTCAGGCGACGCAGCATCCACAACCAGCAGGCCAGCCTACCCGCCTTGTTCCATTGTACAGAGTCCAGATTGATTCGTCAACGTCGACCTTGTCGCCGAAAGTATAGGGGAACGGGGGGCCCTGGGACACGGCCAAAGCCACGGCCGACTTTAGAAAGTCCATGTCGAGCTGTTGGGAGCAAGATCGTCGAGAGGGATGCAGAGAGGTGGCTGCATCAAAGAGAAACGTCGTCAACTGCGCATTAACCGTATATTGCTTGAAGACATCTGGCACGTGTCAAGCAAACACGGCTAGGGACCTAACGTACTAATCCCTGCCCCTCCGTAGCACGGCGTCGTTTAAGCGACTCGCCGCTAGACTGGGCCGCTCTCAGGGCATGGCGTGCCGCTGCACGCTAGAACCGACGAACGGAGGTAGTGGTACAGAAGACGCTTGGAACGCTGTAGATCAAACGGGACTTCTTCCATTGCACCCCTGACGCAGTTTTCTAAAATCTGACCCCGATTCAACCCGTCGACAGCTGCATATGTACATGTACGAGTAGGCAACAACAGAAATCAAGGGTCCAACTGATTGCACCAGGGATTCAGATTCAGCCACAGGACAAAATAAATGCAATTGCACCCCTTATAGTACCTAGCCAAGCGACAAACCCTCAAGCCACGAGACGAGATCTTAGGTAAGCCATCCACGCGCTATGATGTACATGTACACCTGCAGCGCAGCGCAGTGCCCTCCGCGGACCCGGTACGGAGCCATGTTGCTTCAGAGGGCGCTGTTATAGGGCGCTTGGGCCCCTACGGCCAACGAGCCGCCGCGAGCCAACCATCGACGCCTTTCCTCAGCCTTGCTCCCAATCTTTTCTTCTCTCCTCAACGCGCGCAAGCCGCGGGGGAGCGAGAAGCTGGAATCTGGCGATCCTGTTGCCTTTGCCCAAGCACCTGCGCTCTTCCAGTGCCAGCCTCGCGAGTGTCAAGCCAAGCTTCGCCTGGTCGGATTCTCCGAGGCCATCCGCTTCCGCAGCTTTCTCAGATATCTGTGCCATGAGCACGACGTTGACCTCCCGTTGGTGGGCACAAAGTAAGTTGTCGAGGCAGAATGCCTTCCATTTGTGCTTTCTCCTTATCCTTACATCTGCCCGGTTCCTCGCCGCAATGGATGATGCCGCAATGGTAAAAGGTCTGACCGAACGGAACCTCCTGGTTATGGCCCCCCTGTGTCTTCTTGGTCTCAACAGACGCTTCCCGTTCACGGTAACGCGTCGAGCAGCAGCTTCCGCCAGGCCCTCAGGATGGGATCCGATCCCCTGTTCCTTGTCGTACGGCGTCAAGTGCTGCATATCATCAACACTCGCGTCGCACACGGAGTCTCTGTTCTCTCTCATCTTGCCCAACGGACGGAGACCAAAGGCCGCGACGCACACTGGCTGCTCGTGTGAGCAGTTTCCCTCCCAAGAAGACACTCGAGGCCATAACCGTTGCTGTTCCTAGCCTGAAGTCACAAAAAATAAACTGAAAAGATCTGACATTGAAGAGCGAACCAAACTTACAATTCTGAATTATGCTGTGCGAACCAAATGGAAGATAGGGCCTCGCTGACTAAGAAGCAGATTCTATATCCCTTGATGTTCGGAACACCTATCTTGAGTCAAGGACTATTTCTCTGGATGGTTCCCCACAAGGGCAACACGCTGGGTTGTTCGTCAGATTGTGCACTTGACTCTTGGCATGATCACGCTGCAAAGACTCGTCATCCTGCGTCGGGTAATAATCTTGGCGCCATCGTTGACCGAAATCCCTCCCCGGCGCCTGGCGTGCCATGATACTTGGCGAAACATCATCTGGATTGCTGTATGACTGGTGAGGCCCTCAGATATGAATCGCGATGAGGCGCTTAGGCTGAGGGGGAGATGCTCCGTTTGGGACTGCGAAGAGCCCATATTTGCAGAATCTCTCTGCTCTCATCACTATGCCCCGGGGGGGCATTTCGCTCCCAAGGCTCCTGGCTCCGAAGCAATTCGATCCGTACATAGACCAAGGAAGACTCGCCGCCCTCTTGGACGAGCCGCGGCTGGTCCCCCGCTGAATAATTCTCAGTGGTCCGCGTATTCTGCGCGCCATGGCGACTCCACTTTCTCATATTCTGATAAAGCATTCCCGGCTTCTTTCACCCATCACTCACAGACCCACCAAGAATCAAACCATATGCTACAACATCCGCCATTTCCAGGATTCGAAAATCCTCCTATTCAAAGGCAAAAACGAGCAGCAGCAGAGGCCATAGAGGTCAACGCCTCGACAATCACGGTGGAGACCATGCCGCCGAGGCCTCGTGAGCCTTATTTCGTTCTGAATCCTGAATTCACGTCCATTGATAAAAGGCACCCGCCATATACACGTCCCCAACATAATCAGGACTTCTCGCAGAGCAGGCATGTGCCATCGGCTTCCATGCCTCGGCGAAACCTTGATCCCGTTGGTGGATTTGTTGGTGCAGGTGTCGAATTTGCGTCGAATTTGAATTTTACTCATGCCCATCCATCCACTTTACCTTCCAACATGCCTAGCGCCACTCATAAAAACCCTCCTGCAACAGTCCCATCCACCCGCCTTGGAGATGTAAAGGTGGAGGACCCGTCGACGATTACTGTGGCCACAGCGCCAAGCCGAAGAAAGTCGGAGTCAGGCAGGGCACACAAGCGCGAGGGATCTACCATTCATGTTTATCAAAAGCCTGCTCAAACTTTCAAGGAAAATCTCCCTTTGCATATATCTCCTAAAAAGCGAAAAGCTGATGCCTCGGATGCTCAACCCAAAGGTAGAGAACCCTCTATAAAACAAAGACCAGAGGGAAGCTTTACCCTCTCAGCATCAGAGAGGGAACACGGATCGCGATTAGCAAGCCAGCCAGGGGATGGCTATCAAACGATTCCTCCAAGTAGCTTTTCCAAAAATCAAAGCCGCAGGTCCAGTACCAGTGACGACCAAGCTACAGTTCAGTTGCGGAATTCAAAAAAGGCTCATTCATCAACCAAATTGATGCCTATGATAGAAGTAGCCCTCGCCAAAGCCAACGCGCAGCTTGAAAATCATACTCTCTTTACCCTGCGTGACGTTGGTGGACAAAAATCAACGCATACACCTCAACAGTTTCAGCAGCCCGAGCCTCAGACGAATGTGCCGATTGATGAGCGAGACAGCCTGGTTGCTATACCTCCTTCTGCGCCCGAAAGAGATGCCCCAGTGGAGCACGATACTATCACAGTGGCGACACAAAATATGGCAGGGACGATAATGGCAGAGATAATAAAGCCAGTAGTGCCCAGAATGGCGGAAGAGCCTAGGACGCCCAGGACGCCCAGGGCACCTAAGGCTCATGTTTTTGACTCCGAGGCCTTTGATACCATGATTTATCGCCAGTCCACGTTGCGTCCGCCACCAGGTGTTTCTGTCCAGGCTCCTCCTCGACCAAAAACTCCGGTACAGCAACCCTCGACTGAAGATCGAGGCCAGTACTTGGCAATTAATCCCGCGATTCATTTCCCATACAACCGATCTGAGGAGTGGTACAAGGAAAAGGCGGCTGCGATACGGGCTCGCAGAGGGCGCAAAGCATGGTTCGGCAAAGTCATTGAAAGGCGACGGTGGCTGCGAGCAAAAGAGAAGGCAGAAGATGAACGGAATGCGGCAACGCCAAAGCCAACAAGGATAGACCCGCAGCCCTGGTCGTATGATCGGATCATTGACTTTGGGGATGTTCCCGAAGGGGAGCTGCCAGAAGATGTGCTGCAAAATCCGGCATGGGTCAAGGCGTGCGCGTGGCATCGAGAAAACCAAGCAAAGAGGGTTTTACGGGACCGCGCAGCGAGGGATGCGAATAGGGAAGCATGGAGCCAGGCTGAGCGCATCATGGAGGATGCCAAATTGGCATCACAGCGAAGCCGACAGAAGCGATGAGCTTTTCCATACACGGCGTTCCTTTCCCCCAATTTTTCTTTCGCCTTCTTTTTCTTCATCCTCTTTTCATTCTCCTCCCCTTCTTCTTCTTCCTGTTTCTTTTCTATTTTCTCTGTTCTTTCGTCTCCAGATATCCGCTCGGGCATTTATTTATTCTTTACGACAGGTTCGATTTAGAGGCAGACTTTCACCGTCGCAAGGTCCATGTTTGGCGTCTCGGAGGTACGAGGTTATAATGGGATGGGTGCATATGGGAGACTTTATTTCTTTTCATCTTTTTCTTTTCTTCGTTTCTTATGATTTTTCACCCTTCTATCTTTTTAAAAGGGCGCAGATGGAACCACGGTCTCGTGAGATGAATTGATTCAACACTTTATATGCGAGATGCCGTGGGGTCAACGAGAGGAATAATAATGACAGCATTCATATATTAGTACATAGCTTTTGGGGGTTCGCAAAATAGAAGGGGTGTTTTATAAAATCATATTCGACGCCGTGTTTTTTTTATTGGTAACTGAAATCAATTAGCAGGCTATGTGCTATATACCCTCCCTTTCCTCTTTTCCCAAACGGTCACGCACATTTTATTCAACGTCAACACTTTGGCTAAATCCAACTTTGATACACTCGCCTCCCTCTTTCTTTCTTTTATACACCCTTGGACAGCAGGTTCAGAGCACTGCCCGCCAGAATGAAGCCCGCCTGGTCCTTGCTCACAGCATGCTTGGTCGGGATGAGAAACTCCTCGCCGCTCGCCTTCTTCACCTTGAGCTGGACGTCTCCCTTGCCCTTGTTGCGCAGCATCTCGTACAGACCGACGGTGCTGACCTCGTCGCCGGCGGAAATCTTGTCGTAGTCGGCCTCGTCGGCAAAAGTCAGGGGCACGACGCCCTGCTTCTTCAGGTTGGTCTCGTGGATGCGGGCAAAGGACTTTGTCAGGACGACCCTGGCGCCGAGGTAGCGCGGCTGCAGGGCGGCGTGCTCGCGGGCGGAGCCCTCGCCGTAGTTGTGCTCGGCGACGACGAGCCAGTCCTGGCGGCGGTCCTTCCAGCGCTGGCCGAGCTCGGGGATGGTGTGCTTGGAGCCGTCGAGGTCGTAGGCGGCGTTGACCTCGCCCGTCTCGGCGTTGACGGCGGTGTTGAGGGTGTTTGTGCTGATGTTGGGGAGGTGGCCCTTGTACTTGAGCCAGGGGCCGGCGGCGGAGATTGTGTCGGTGGTGCACTTGCCGGTGACCTTGACGAGGACGCGGAGGCCCGAGAGGTCGGACTCGGGGAAGGGGGCAAAGGGCTCGAGGAAGGCGAGGCGGTCCGAGGACGGGGAGATGGCGACCTGGACGGTTGGGTCGGGCTGCTGGGAGAGAACGCCGAGAGAGGCGACGCCGGACTCGAAGGGGGTGGTGGGACCTTCGAGGCCGTGGGGGGGGGAGAACTTGAAGTCCTTGCCGGAGGGGGTCTTGATGCTGTCGGTCATGGGGTTGAAGGTGGTTGAGCCGGCAAAGGCCATGGCGGTGACGATCTCGGGCGAGGCGAGGAAGTTCATGGTGTCCGGGTTGCCGTCGTTTCGGCCACGGAAGTTGCGGTTGTAGGACGTGAGAATGGCATTGGACGTTCCCTTGGTGACGCCGTCCTGTCGCTGCCACTGGCCGATGCAAGGCCCGCAGGCGTTGGACAGCACGACACCGCCGGCAGCTTCAAAGGTCTCGAGCGTGCCGTCGCGCTCCAGGGTTGCGCGGATCTGCTCGCTGCCGGGCGTGATGTAGAAGTCGGCGGCGGGCTTGAGACCTGCGTCGGCGGCCTCCTTGAGGAGACTCTCGACACGGGTCATGTCTTCGTAGGAGCTGTTGGTGCAGCTGCCGATGAGGCCGGCCGACAGCTTCTCGGGCCACTGCTGGTCCTTGACAAGGCCCTTGAACTTGGATAAGGGGGTGGCCAGGTCGGGGGTGAAGGGGCCGTTGACGTGAGGCTCCAGCTCGGACAGGTTGATGGTGATGAGCTGGTCGTACTCGGCGCCTTGATCCGCCTTGAACTGGAAGCGGGCATCCTCGGAGGTGCCGCTTCCGGGGAAGCTCTGCAGGGCCTTGATGTTGTCAACGGCCTGGCTCCTGCGGGTGGACTGGAGATATCGCGCAGATGCCTCGGTGTAGGGGAAGACGGAGGTGGTCGCGCCAACTTCAGCGCCCATGTTGCAGATGGTAGCCATGCCAGTGGCACTCAGGGTATCAACACCAGGGCCGAAGTACTCGATGATGGAGCCGGTACCGCCACGAACAGTCAGCTCGCCGGCCAGCTTCAGGATGACGTCCTTGGGCGCCACCCAGTCGTTGAGCTTGCCGACGAGCTGGACACCCAGAACTTTCGGTGCCTTGAGCTCCCACGGCGCACCAACCAGCGCCTCGACGGCATCAGCGCCGCCCACGCCAATCGTCACCGTGCAGAGACCGCCGGCATTGGGGCTGTGGCTGTCCGTGCCCAGCATCATGAGGCCCGGCAGCGCGTAGTTCTCCAGCACCGTCTGGTGAATGATGCCCGCGCCCGGCGGCCAAAAGTCCATGCCGTACTTGCGCGCCGCCGACTCGAGGAAGTCGAAAATCTCCTTGTTGGCACTGATCCCCGCCGAGAGGTCGTCTTCGGCGCCCTTGGAGCCCACGATCAAGTGGTCGCAGTGGATGCTGGCCGGGATCGCGGGCCTCTCGAGGTTGCACGACATGAACTGCAGCAGCGCCATCTGCGCCGACGCGTCCTGCATGTTGACCCGGTCGGGCTTGAGCAGCAGGTTCGCCTTTCCGCGGATGCTGCGCCCGCCGTCGGTGTTGGTGAGCAGCGACTCCTCGACATTGTCCAGGTGGCTGTAGAGGATCTTCTCGGCCAGCGTCAGGCGCTGCTTGCCCAGGACCCGCCGCACGTCGGTGTACCTGGTGAAGAGCTTCTCGTACGTCGGCGGCAGGGACGTTGCGGTCGAGAATCTGCTCGACGAGATGCGCAATGCGCGGTGCGCTCCGGTTGCGGAGATGGATCCCGCTCGTCGCAAGAGGCTCTACAGATGGTCAAAGTCAGTCCTGCGTTTACCTTTTTGATATTGTTTATGAATAGAGGAAAACACCAAAATATCAAAGACTCACCGTCATGGCGCCTCCAGAACGGCCTGCCAGTTCAATCGGTGCCATGTTGCACAATCGCTGCTGTCGTGATGCTGGAGAGGTGAATTTTTCTGGGCTGAATCTGAGTTGGATTGTCAATTGTTGGCATCGGATTGGAGGGGGCATCGGAGCCACACGCCGGCGCACGGCTCCGTAGATCGAAGCGATACAATGGCACTAAAAATTGACATTCCGGGTCTGAGTCATTGCTGAAAAGTATGTCGTCAATTTTGAATTCAACGTAGTGCCTCAATTATATAGGTATCTCAACACCCGACCAGCTTCATGTTATCGTTCGTTGCCTCGGCCCAAATCCCATCATACAAAAAAAAAAGAAAAAAACCAAGTCCATTCATGCAATGCCCTCCACCTCATCATCCCGTTTTTTCTAGTTCTAGTAAATTGCAACTCCGTCAGCGTCGTCCAGCCATAGCGCTGCCAAATCCTTGGCCAAACCCAGCCTCAACTTTCGAATCACGTCCTCTCCCTTGGTGTTGGCCAGCCAGCCTTTCCTCCAATCCCATCCCCTATTCACTTTGCCTTGGCCCCCCATGATGGACTTTTGCATGTGGCTGACTAGGAGAGAGCTGCCACTCATCATGTATGTGCTGTTGCTAAGCGAGCTCGTCGACTTCATCAAATCTGCCGGCGTAGACCCCTTGAGGCCTTGTCCCGATGCGAGCACCAAGTTGAAGAACTCTTCGCAAGTAGAGTACACGTGAGAACCAACAGCCTGGATATCCTCGATGGCCTTGAGGATAATGTCGAGCTGCTCGAGGGAGATGACCGAGGGCGACTGATTAATGAAAACAGTTGCTTCGCCCAGCAGAGCCAACAAGAAATCCTCGCTGACCACCGCGTCCCTGGTCTCGTCGTAAAGCCCACCGCGGATGTTGTCGCCTGAACTAGAGATGACAGCCACCAGCGCAAAGGCAGCTTGCTTTCTTAGGGTGAGAGCCCTGGATGGCGAAGTCTCTTCAACCTTTGCTATTTCGTCTCGGAGCTCGTAAAACTTGCGCAGCGTCGCGTAGCCACTAAGCATCCGGCCAAGTAGCTGAGCTGCCTCTAAATCAACCTTTGCCCGATCCTCCAACGCCTCTGATCTATTTCGAAGCATGCTCTTGAGGTCTTCGTCGAGGTCCTTTTCAGCAGGGTAAACCGTCGACTGCACAAGGGAGTAGGACATGAGAAGGTTGAGAACTTCACGAACCCGATCCCCCTGGTGCGAAAGTGCAAAGTACCAAATCGCCTCGCCATATCGGTGAGATTCCTTCGACAAGATTTCTGCAAACGTCTATCGCTTCAGTCAGCTTACCATGGCTCCAAGGTGAAGAAAGGGAAGGGGAAGGGCAAAGAGTGTATCGCTTACCTCTGCTGTCTCCTCGGCATAATTCATCATGCCCAGATCACTCAGGATCCTCCACATCTTATCCACCGTCGTGCCCGAGGTTTCGTCCAGTGTTGCCAGGAGGTCCCTCAACAGTTCGCCAACCGTCTCTTCTGCCTTTTCCGGTACGTCCATCCGGCCCAGCACTTGAATGGCCATCTCCCAGCCATCCCGTTGTGGCGAAAGATGCTCGATACCTGCCAGCTCTCTCGCGTAAATCACAATGCTCGTGTCCTTGATGCCCTCCACATCATCGTTGGTGGGCTGTCCTACTCCAAGGAGCATCAAATCGTCCATGTCCAGGGTATCAGCTGGCAGCGGCTTCACGGGCTCTGCCGGGGGAAGCCACCCACCCAGAGAAGCAATCTCGGCGACTGAACAAGCCACGGGGAGAGACCACGTCCTCAGACATCCAATGACGGCGTTGGTATTGCCCTCAAAGGCAGACGCAAGAGCAACCTCGACGGGATTCATCGTGTTGGGGCTAAGACCGGATTGGATGACAAGGTTGAACACGGTCACAAGCCGATCGAAATAGTCCTCAGAGTCTGTGAAGCTGCCTGGCGACGTCGCCGACAGACCAAACTGCGACTGCAGCAGGGGCTTGGGGCGTTGGACGCCCTCATCCCACCAGCCAAACAGACCAATCGTTGCCTCGCACCAATCCTGCGCCGTCTCCAAGATGGCTTCGGTCTGTCCCAGGACGATCTCGTATACCGTCTGCAAGTTCTCGTAAATGTCCCACGGGATCTGACTCGAGGCCTTCTTGGCCATTGTCGACATGGACGTGTCAAGTTCGTCATTCAGCGAATCGAGGAAGGTGGTGTCTTTTCCCTCAGCAAACAGCGTGAGCCTATCCAAGGAGCCTCGGGCCTGAACTCGGAACAAGGTCCAGCTGCTGTTTAGAATGTCCCAGTCGTTTCTTGCTCCGGGGCACTGGTCAAGCATCTCGCATGTGGCCTCTGTAAACCTTCGTACGTTTTCGAGGGCCTTGCCTATGTACGTTTGGCCGCCGAGAGGGCCGCGGCGGACATGCTCCCAGCCAGCATTCTTCAAAAGTTGCTTTGCCCCGTTCACGTCACCCCGTAGCAGCGCATTTCTCAGTGTCTGCCAGTACAAGCTATGGCATGCCGGGCTGGGCTTGTATCTGGAAATTTCTCGAATCTGGTCGGGATACAGGTTATGGCTGGATTGCATCCAGTCAAAGAGGATCTCCGGTAAGGGCGACGCCCTGTCATCCTCGAGCTTTGTGTCGAAACGGGTATGGTGCATGCGGAGAATCAAATGCGCGACGTAGACAGCCTTTTCCAACGGATCCGCATCTTCTCCTGGGCCAATGGTAGCCAGATCCTCGCCTTCGGGGGGCGGGAGCTCCTCTACGTAGTCCGTCCAAACTCGTATCAGCTTGTAGGTGATGTCGGCAAGCGAGTTTTCTAGCCTCTCCGGGTCATCGTGAGCGCCAACGCCATCGTTGTATAGCTGGCATACCAAGTTTTCCGTCTTGAGGATCAGATCAGGCTTCTCTGTGATTCTAGCAGGCTCCTGGTAGGTGTAGATATCCTTGGCAATGGTGCCAAACCGAGGGTCCCGGCTTCTTCCAGTGGCCCTAAAGCGAGCTGATTGACTAAATATGCTCTCCGCTTCTTTGCGCACTCTCGCTGTTGCCGCAGGGGTCCGCAGCATCATCAAATCCGGCTCCTCGCCAATGACGGGTTGGCCATATGCACGGTCGTCGTGCCGCATGTTCAAGAAAATGTCGCCCATATCAGAGTCATCCACACTCTGTTCCTCGTCCAATGGAGCATCGTCTTCCTCTTCCATTTCCTCATCGATGTAACGCTCCACCTGGGCCTCCATATCGTCGACCTCTTCTTTTCTTTGCGATGGCCTCGTTGGCGGAGCCGCCATCCGGAACAAACCTCCTCTCAGAGGAGGGAGCTCGCTATCGTTGTCAGGATCCTCGTCGAAATCAAGCTCCTTGCTGTCGTCATCTGTACGAAGCTGTCGGCTCAGCCCAGAAGGCGCTCTGCCTCCGATACCCCGGCCCAAAGGAGCATTGGAGGTTCGCGTTCGGCCAAACAATCCGCCTCCGCCCGTGCTCGAGGTTGCACCAAAATTGGGAGGCCTTGGCGGGTCAAACTGGAGCACTGGGCCGCTGAGATGCGAAGCTGCTGAAGGAGGAGCATCCATGGGATTGCCCGTCGGACTGTCTTGGTACTGCGCGAATCCGAGGTTGTTGGCACCGCGTATGTCTGGCGTCGATGGCGCCTCCTTGAGAGGGCTGGAATCGATGATGAAGCGGTGCGCCATGGCGAATGGCGATGTTTGCCTCGCTGCTCCAGCAGAAACGTTGGTATCAGGAGCGTCGAGGGATCACAGTTTCATGCGTGCGAGTTGGTTTCCGAATTCGTCCAACATGTAAATATCGTGCTATGCAAGGCCAAACGGTGAGGGGGGCGATGAATTCGAGAGGCTGTTTGTGAATGGAAATTGCCCTCTCAATTCATTTTGTCCAGCACGCGTCTTGGATATTTTTCGAGAGCTGCTGTCGCGCCAAGTTGGGACGGTCCGATGTTTAGCCGGCCTCACCGGGTTCAGAGGCTCAGGTGAGAGCTCGGTGTGGAGTCTGAGCTTGGACATGACTTGATTCAAAGCGAGATACACGAGGAAGCTCCCCAATTCAGAAGCTGGAGCGGTTGAAATAGTGATTGATGAATATAAACCTAAAACATCGGTTCTGTTTGTTGCCGTTGAAATGCTGATGATTACTATTAATTTCAAAAAAGAATACGAAGAGCAAACGTTGTCAGCTCCAATACGACGTGCAAAATGTATACATTAACTCCGGCGGTTACACCGAATCTTCGGAATACCTCCCGACTTTTTACACCATCTCGATACACAGAGCTTATAAATCATAATGTAATTCAAAGGGTCATATACGGGGAGATATTTCGGGATTGGGTGAAAGAATTGGTTCACAGGGCCATCTCTGCCTCCAAACGCCGCATGACTGAACTGTTTTCGCTGATAATTTCGGCAATAAATATAGCCGCTTCAAGGGACAGGTAACACAGCTGTTGTGAGCACGGAGGAGGCGGATCTGGACGTATGTCATTGTCACATAACACCCGGCTGAGGAGCCGACATGGTGAGCAACGCTCTTGAAAATCCATGCTCGTTACAAGACGCGATTCGTTGACGGGTAAAGTCAACGTCTTGGAGTGTCTGGTTGTGTGCATGAGGTAAGCTCAGGAAATGAGCATCACTTTTCTGCGTCCCCACTCGACAGCGGGGTAGAGCATCGGAATAGCAATCGTGACGCTTTCGGTGGTCCGGGAAGCTTGGCTGGGCAGAGCTGCTACTGGTAAATAAATAAATAGCAGCTCCATTCTTGCCTGTGCTTTTTCTCTCGCATTCTTCAGCGCGTTCGAGAAGTGCATTTCAGCGTCTGACTAACTGACACAATGGCTTCGACTGTTGGCAAGGTGAGTTGCCCCTCCATGATATGCCCCGCCACAATTTTGCTGTGAGCCGAGTTGAACTGCGCTGACCACGGGGTGTGAGTGTGAATAGACCATCACCTGCAAGGCTGCCGTTGCCTGGGAGGCTGGCAAGGAGCTGAGCATTGAGGATGTCGAAGTTGCTCCTCCCAAGGCTCACGAGGTCCGCGTGCAGATCTACTACACTGGTGTCTGCCACACTGGTAAGTTGCCCGGATCCGGGTGAATCGCGCAAAGGGGCAGCAGAAACTGACAGCTAGGTGGATAGATGCCTACACCCTCTCTGGCAGGGACCCCGAGGGTGCATTCCCCGTCATTCTGGGACACGAGGGAGCTGGTATTGTCGAGTCTGTTGGCGAGGGTGTCACCAACGTGAAGCCCGGCGACCACGTCGTTGCTCTCTAGTATGTCTCATCAGCCATCTAACGACATGCTTCAAGACAGAGGCTAACTAAACATGCAGCACTCCCGAGTGTAAGGAGTGCAAGTTCTGCAAGTCTGGCAAGACAAACCTCTGCGGCAAGATCCGAGCCACTCAGGGCCAGGGCGTCATGCCCGATGGCACCAGCCGGTTCAAGTGCAAGGGCAAGGACCTTCTCCACTTCATGGGGACGTCGACTTTCTCTCAGTACACCGTCCTCGCCGACATCTCCGTTGTAGCCGTCCAGCAGGATGCCCCCATGGACCGCACATGTCTCCTTGGCTGTGGCATCACCACCGGCTACGGCGCCGCCCGCGTCACCGCCAAAGTTGAGGAGGGCTCCAACATTGCCGTCTTTGGAGCTGGATGCGTTGGTTTGTCAGTCGTTCAGGGGGCTGTCGTCAACAAGGCCGGTAAGATTATCGTCGTTGATGTCAACCCGGCCAAGGAGGAGTGGGCCAAGAAGTTTGGCGCTACGGATTTCGTCAACCCCAACGACCTCAAGGGACAGACCATTGTCGAGAAGCTGATTGAGATGACTGATGGTGGCTGTGATTACACCTTTGACTGCACTGGTAACGTCAACGTGATGCGTGCTGCTCTGGAAGCTTGCCACAAGGGCTGGGGAGAGAGCATTGTCATCGGCGTCGCTGCTGCTGGCCAAGAGATTTCCACACGTCGTGAGTAACCCTGGCCACCTTGTCGGATATTTAATATGAAGAGCCATACTAACCTGACACCTTTTCCTCTTGCCAGCATTCCAACTTGTCACTGGTCGTGTCTGGAAGGGCTGTGCTTTCGGTGGCATCAAGGGACGCACACAGCTGCCCGGGCTTGTCAGCGACTACTTGTCTGGAGCTCTCAAGGTTGATGAGTTTATCACACACCGCAAAAACCTTGGTGAGATTAACAGCGCATTCGAGATTATGAAACAGGGAGACTGCATCCGTGCCGTTGTTGACGCGAGGACGCTGTAGAATGAGCTTGCGTAAAGGGACCAAGCTCGGGTGTCAAACTTGAGAAAAGATGTAAAATACAAAATGAGCATACAACAACCAGAAGTAGAAATACCGAGAGAAGTGAAGGAATAGTTGATGAAAATACCAAGAGGCAGCGTTCGTGCTCTTACATATGGCCAAGTTGTTTCGCACCTTGATGGTCTAGTGGAGTCGTGCAGCAATATGTGTATAGGTACGAAGAGATGATGAGCCGCACTGCTCAGTAAACTAATAGAGGGCGTTGTGCAGAGATTATTGGTGTATAGCAAAAGATTGCAGGAGATGCGGTTGCTATATAATTCGTCTCACTAGTTCATCAGTAGCGATAATAACCATGTTATTATTATGCGTTACTTGACTTCTGTATCTACCATTTGCTGCCCTATCTCTTATTTCTCAGAACTGAGATGCGGTGCACAATCCCATTGGTGATAGTCGCGGGCTGAAGACCCACTGTGCGCCGTAAAATCTTTCTCATATAGGCTGAAATAAATCTACAGATAAACAATCAAAACAAGGCCGTGATCGTATAACGGTTAGTACAACAGTTTGTGGATCTTACGAGACACTGTAAATCCAGGTTCGATTCCTGGTCACGGCACAAATCTTTTTTTGCGTGTGGCTGCGAATTTTTTTTTTGGCCCGGAATGCGGTGGGTGGGGACGCTAACAAATAGAGGCCCTCAGCCAGTCAAGTACGAACTATGTACTCTGAAAAATGGGTTGCTTTACTCTGGCTTGCACAGTTGGATGTTTTTGTTGAGAAATTGTACCTAGGTAGATTACGGTTATACATTGATCCCTTTTTTGTACATTGTCCAACCACGAGAGTGATGAATTCTATTCATCTGCCGAATTGGGTCGCATTGCTAGATTCGGAAAGTGGAGACAATTCACATACTACATACAGTAGCTGATGACTTAGCACATCTAGTCCACTTCTGCTCATTGCTTGCTCGTCCATTCTATTGAAGTATTTATGTTGCTTTGTAAATAGCCTGTTGTGTGAATGGAGGTGGCTTTAAATGAGACGCGAATAAGCAGTTGTCCAATAACAATCAAGACGAGGAGGAAAAAGGAGCATCATTTGCGCAGAATAAAAAGCAACGTTTTGAAAGCATGGACGAAAAAGAGCCCCTGACATGAGCGAATTCACTTCATCCCTTCATCCAGGGTAACATTTTCAACCTGGCTTAATAACTCACTTCCGATACGTTCAATGCAAAGCAACAAGCTGCGCCGTCGAAGCCTCGCAGCCACCGGCTTCTTGTCAGACTGTGGCCAGAACAAGCCTGAAAAAAACTAGCACGGGGATCAGCCAATCCGGAATTCACCACAGACGCAATGATTGCGACGCAATTGAAGCTTTTGAACCGCGTAGTTCCTACAGTAGTTCTTTTCTCCATCGCTCAGCCCGAAGTGACATCAAGTTTAGAAACAACCGGCGGGAGTCCGGGAATGACGAAATGGCTACCGAATGGATAAAAAAAAATCTGCTCTAGCAAAAAAGAATGCCGGCATTTGCGACACTCGGCAGTTCCTATTGGGGGCAGACCCAAAGAGCGCGAATGGTTTCGGGTGGTGTGCGGATCCGACGGCGAAGATTCCGGTACGATCGCCCCAAAACGGCGATTTAAGTGGTGAGAAGACGGAATGGCGATATGGGGGGGATGCCCATCGTGGACTCGGTACAGGACTTGCGAGATGCAGCTTTTTACTCCCAAGGATATATACGAACCTTGATACGGCGCACTTGCGTCCGACATGCTCGTACATACTGTAATCAAACGATGTAATAGCAGGCTGTCTGTGAATACATAGGTAGACGAACCGTATACTGTACGGAGCTCATTTCGCACAGGCGTTAGGCGATTGCTTAAAAATCATGCTCACGGCCATCAACTCTAGTGTCCAAGGAGATGCTTAATAGGAGGTTGGCCGAAGACGTCTGATTGATGGCGCTGTAATTCGTCAGCTACGAAGCTGCCTAAAGAGGCCGGGGTACGTCACACATGCGGAGAATTCCTTACCACCTACCTACCTAACATCGGGTGCAAAGCAGTCCACGAGTAGTGTTAGGTAGGGATTGATTCCGTTACGACCTGAATGAAGTCTTTCGCAGGGATTGTGTTTGTATTTATCGACTTGCGGGCTGGGGGGGATCACATCACGCCTTGACCTTGTCAACGGGCGGCTTTTCAGCTGCTCGCCCCCTTCCCCAGGGAGTCGGCGCTTGCTGCACGACAAGTCATGTCTTACGTCTCGCCATTGCAGCCGCCGGGCATTGATGAAGCCAGGCAAGGGAATCGCCAGCCTAGCTTCAGACGGAGTTTTTTGAAGTCGGTTCAACCGAAATACGTGGGCAGTCAAACAGGGCCGCGAGGATTGCTCGCAGCAAACCAGGGAGCGATGAGATAGGTAGAGGGAGAGGGCTGCCGACTACCGGTGCACTGCATGTTATCTGCCGCAACGGAGTATCACGCACGCGACCAATGTGGCTTTTTATCCCTTCCTCTTCCCTTGATCGTGGAGCCTCGCGCGCATGCAGGGTTTAAAAAAACACAAAAAAAGGCTTGATGGGGGACGACTTCCGCACTTTATTTGTCCCTGTTTGCGTGTGCGCGTGCGCGTGTGACGGCGTCCCAAGTCCGGAGGCATCGTCGTCCCCCCCCCTGTACGACAAACGCCTGGCATGCAAGTATCGACTTATTTGTATGTGCTCGTGCATGTGCTAATGATGCACAATCCCAATGGTACCCCATTCTCCACGATGTATCGATGCATTGGCAAAGTAGGGGTCCACCGCCGACCTACGTGTTCGCTGGCTACCTGGGGCTGCGCTGGTTCCAACGTTGGCATCCGGCAAGGGATCATAAGCGATGGATGTGACATAGGTGCCCAAGTGCCCAACTTGATGCCACAGAGAAGGCACATGTGCGAGTACGGATGCCTGCGCTTTTGGACCATACAAGTACAATTACCACGCAAGCATGGGCAATGTGTAAGCGCCTTCTCATCAGGTGCGTGCTGCACCATGTTGGCGGCATTGTCTCTTAGGACCAATGCCAATGCCTTCGTAGACTATAGTAGGTACTGGCAGCATCATCTCATCTCTTTGATTGAATTCCAGGTCGCTTACCCTTAGCTTACAAGTCTTCAGCCGCTTTCGGAGGGCGGCAAAAAACGACTGGAGTCAGTCACTTTCTTAGACCACAGGCCAGGAATAGCAAGTCTGGTCACAGGTCACAGCAGAGCCCGTACTAGAGGTGATGGTCGCGCGACTGGCAAGGTGGTGGTACAGGCACAAGTACCAAGTCGTATCCGTACGGGGGTCGCATCAGACTAGCATCAAGTGGCCGCTTGGGCAATCTTTGCGCGGGCTTTGATTGGAAAATGGAACTGACGAGAATGAGGGCTCCGTATCTCTGGGCTCCGTACAGTATCTCTTCCCGCTGGTGTCAGTGTCAGTGTCAGTTCAAATCCAACATCACGTGTACAAAGTACCTGACATTGCCGGCGGGCCCCCCATGTAACTCCCTAGGTGAAGTAGGGAACGAGCTATGTTCAGCTGCTCCGGCTGGAATTTCGGCCGGGATCATGGAGCCGCCACCGCCCATGCGACTATGGATGTCAAGGTGTAATTGATCAGTTGATTAGCCGAGGTGGTCTCTGTTTTACCCAGAACGCCGCAGAGCCAATTCCATTCGTCCTGATCCCAGAGATGATGTACCTAGAAAGAAGAACGGAGAGACAAAGAAATGGGATGGGAAGCAAGAGGCGGCAGATGGAAGATGGAAGGCCGAAGAAAGAGCACGAGTACTCCATGCCTAGTAAAAGCACTGATAACGCCCGCCCAGCTACCCGCACCCCCTCGAGAGATTCTACCGACTTCTCGTCCTCCTCTCCTCCGTCTCCGTACAGTGATAAAGAGGCCCGTACTACCTACGAGCAGAAGGGGGGTGTGGGTGGCGGATTGACACCACCCCCGGGGGCCTGGGACATTCTCCGCCCTAGTGGCACCGGTGCTGTCTTGTCTTGCGCTTGTCACTGCCCCCAGGACGGACTGGACTCGCTCATATAAAGCCTCGCGCGATCCGCCGGCCGCGAGCGTCTTGTCCTGTTGCTGACTCAAAAAGGCTCAGGTTTCCTTGCTTCGTCAGTCAGCGGTGTCCCATCTTGCGGTCCCTTTGTGTCCTTGGAGTATTTAATCCCACGGCGTCCGGCCCCCTCAGTCACTTTCCCTGCGTACTTGGACAAACACACTCCCTGCGAGTAAACAGCATCACACGACAGACCGTCATTACTAGCCGGCCACTCCCATCCTTTTTCCTGCCTTCATCCTCGCCTTTTTCACTCCTCCCGACTCTCGCCCATCATGCCCAAGAAGCTCCGTTGCACCGCCAAGGACTGCCGAGAGCCCGCTCAGCGCATCGTGGGTGACTGCACCTTTTGCAACGGCCACTTCTGCGGCAAGCACCGTTTGTTAGAGGACCACAAGTGCAGCGGTCTGGAAGACGTACGTTTCATCCCTTCGTCTCATCTCACCTATCCAGGTCTTTTCGTTTCCTCAGCTAACCTAACGCTTGGCATGCAGTGCAAGAAGCAGTCTCACGCACGTAACGCTGCTCAGCTTGAGGCTGAGCGGACGCAAGTCATCCGAGGCGTCTAAATCGATATCCTTGCCACTTCCCCCCGGAATAGCCATCATCCAAACACACAACCGACCGTTTAATTACCGCACCATCTACTTTACTACCATTCTCCTTCACCGTCATGAGTTGCTGGCCACCGCTGCCCAATTCATAACTCACGAACCATGATTACATGAAACCACATATCCCTTTGGCCGGAGCGAACAGGGGGTGCACAGACACAGGCGAGAGACTTTTTTTGCTTCTTTTTGCCACAGAAAGAGAGGGAATCAACAGAGGAGAAGCACGATAAGTGACCTCTCTAGTTTTTTGTACATTTCTACCATTTATTGTTTTGTTTTTTTTTCTGTTTCGGTCGGAACAGCTGCGGCCTTTGTATCGCACGGAGTATTGGGTATGATTCATCGGGGAAACATTCGGAGCCATGTTGCGTTGGTTGTTGATTTTCACCTCTTTTACACTTGATTCTCATTCACAATAGGAAATAAATAAATACAGTAAAAAAAAAAAACACCACAAATTCCATTTCGCATGTGCCTTTCGCCATCATGAAAAAGCGCCGGTGTTGCGTGATCCGGCGACGCAATGACATGTCCCCCCCGTGAGGCTTTTGGACCTCGGTGGCGCATTTTCCGGTTCGGCGATGGGCTGGGGTCCCCGCCTTGACATTTGATGCATCAAATGCTTTGTTATGCAATCAACTTGCTTCATCTACCTAGCCCGGCGGGGCCTGGTGATTTCGGCTGGTCGAACCCAACACCGACTGACCTCCGAAAGCACCGTCTCGATCCGACGATGGCGACAAGCGACATGTAACTTGATGATTACATACGGACCGAATATCAAGCGATCCGGATCCCTGCCCTGCCAAAGTTATGTGAGATGAGGCGACATTACGAGAATGTATGTACACACGTGCAAAAAACAGCGTGCAAATGAATACGGAGAATCGAGTCATCATCAGCCAAACAAAGTTTCTACCATCGTATTATCATCGTATAAACGCACATTTGTAAGACATCGCTCTGGTGCTATATACATGCGTCTACTGTATCTACAGGGAAAGAAAAAAAAAAGGCTGCAAAAAGGTCAAAAGGCCAGTAATGTGCTTACATGTGGTTGCAACGTGGCCGACCGCAAAAAACTGCACGGACGTTGTGATCAGCGAGCGAAGTCGGCGACCATGTGTCTATCGCCAATACGACGAGGGTCGCCTAATCCTCCTGCTCCTGCTTGACCTTGACTTCCTCCTTGACGATGGCTTCAGCCTTGACAATTGCGCCACCGACTGCTCCCTGGTCCTCGATTTTTTCAATCTTAATCGTCTCCTCCTTGATCGCCTCCTCCTTGATCCTCCTCCCCCCGAGAACCTTCTTCCGTTCGGCCGCTTTGCAGAGCCCCTGCAGTCCCAAATCGCATTCACCACAGCGCCGGCCCACGGGAAGACACACGCTCTGGCCCAATCCAACCAGCAGGCCATTGATCTCACGCCAGCGGTCGTGGGGTAGCCATGACTGCAGAGCCAGCCGCGTCTCCTCGGGACTCTTGGTCTTGTTCCACCCCCACATGTTGGTGATGCGATGGACGTGTACGTCGACGCCGATGCCTTCGGTGCGGTTCCAGGCTACCGATAGGCAGAGATAGGCCATCTTGGGGCCGACGCCGGGGAGAGACGTGAGGCCCTCCACTGTATCGGGGATGTCGCCGTTCCATTTGTCGCGGAGAATCTCGGCAGTCTTTTTGATGTACCTGCGTAAGAGACCGGATGGTTAGCATCAACGTAGTATATCCGTGAAAAAAAACGTGGCTCGGGATGGACAAACTTGGTCTTATTGTTGTGAAAACCAACCGCCCAAATCATCTCATTGAGCATATTGGCTTCCACTGCCAGCAAATTGTCCAGGTTCAATCCCACCGGAGCCCCCGGTTTGTACGCCGGCAGTTCCGTCTGTAGTTTCCTCATCACTACAGCCGTCACCGTATCTTTTGTCTGGCTGGACAGCATCAGCGCAATTAGCGAGTGCAGTCTCTGGTCCTTTGGTGAAGCGTTCCTATCCGCCAGCCGCTCGCAGCCCATTGTGTCCACGGCTGCACCGTAGGCAGCACCGCCTGGCGCGCGCATCTTCCTGACCACATTGTACATCTCTTCCCAGTCGGAAGGCGGCGAGATGGAGGTTTCGCCCGTTGCCGGATCGGCCACTTTGCGCGCGGGTTTGCGGGCGCGAACTGGTGCACGACGCGCGCTTTTCGAGGGGGCCGTAGCTATCGCGTCGAACTTGTCGTCCTCATCGTCAGACTCGGGCTTGGTGAATTCGCTGGAAAGCGAGGCATCGGAACCCCTTCTTCGCTTCTTTGACGGCGGACCGATGCTGTCTTCGATATCGGGCGTCTGTGAGGCAGTCGTCGTGCTTGAAGAGGCTGCGTTGAGGGCGAACCGTGCCAGTGAAGACCGCGTCGTGCGTCGCGGTGGTGAGGCTGAACCTGCGGCTCGCTTCAAGAGCGTGGCCGTGTCTTTTGATATCCGTGATGTGCGCATTTTCGATGATCTTGTGAATCACTTGACGGCCATGTTGTGAAAATCCGTGACGTGAATTGTCGTGAGCAGATGGTTTATATGTAAGAGAGGAAAGTGGCGGGTTGATTTAAAGGGTTCCGAAGATTCGGATCCGACGCGGCGGTTGCATAAACTGGTAAGTGGGAGGGGCCACTCCTTTTTCGGTAGTCATCTGGATCTGGAAAGTGAAGTGTATCATCTCTTTTATCGGAAGATGAATTAGTGAATCTAACTCTGCCATTGTGGTTTTAGCATATGTCTATTATTTAGTGTTTCGATGGAATTTTTATTTTGAATGAAAAATATAGGGTAGCGTTAACACGCGGTGTTGCTCCATCTCGGACTTTAGTATGGCGTATCAGGTAGGTACAGTACATTTTCCATCCATCATTGCTCGAGCTGCAATCAAGTGATCTTTGTTTCGTATGATTGCAAATTTGATTTAGTTTGAATAGATACTGCAGCGTGAATCTTTGAAAATGTGAGTGCCATCTATGTGATACTATCCACTGCCGGAATTATTCATTCTCTCTGCAACATCTCACTGTACATCAACTAGGTGGTCAGTTGTAATTGAAGCTGCATGTACTACGGCAGCATGATACCCCAGACTATTGAAAGTACTCCGCAACTCTATTCTCGTTTCTGTCTAAACAATAACCATCCTGTAAACAACGGAAATATTCCGCTGCATCATCAGCTGCATTTTCAAGGCCTAATTATGTTCAACATCGCTGTGCCAGCTCAAGCCTCGGCTGACCCTGCGTCTCCACACCACCATTTTCGGCCAAGGGAGCGGCACGACGAACAAACAGCCTTGAAACCGACAGACTTGGGTCTGACAAGAGTGACCGTGTACGAGTAGTAAGCTGGGACAATCTTAAATCTCTGGCGCCAAAACACACACGAGCCTTTCAGCTGCTTGTCTGCCTCCCCTGTCTTATTATCGTTGGTCCCTCCGTCCGGCATCTCGTCTCTCTGCCAAACGCCATTTCTTGCGCGACGGACGCGAACCCCAGATTGACTGATTGATTGATTGATTGCCTGTATCTAAGGTATCTGTGCCTGCTGGCACCACTCACCACCCGCACCTGATGGAGCATTCGGGGGCGAACAAGGGTTTCTTCCAGCCTCCACCGATTTTGCCGAACCAGTTCTATGACGATGTTTCCTTTCAAAGATGCTTCAAACGTGAGTCCCACGTGCATGTAAACAAAGGCAACGGCCCTGTCGCCGACGCCGACGCCCAGCCCAGCCCAGCAATCCACCCCGTGTAGCCATGCGCTGTGCTGTGCTGTGCTGTGCTGCAATGACAATTATATCGCTAACGCCGCTTGCGCAGTATTCCTCCCCTTTAGCGTGATTACAGAGGTCGAGGCTGAAGTCGCGGCCTTGGGGAGGGATGTCCTCTCCGACGAGGTGTTTGCTTGGATCACAGATGCCGAGCGCAACAAGCCCTATCTCAAGGGCAGCGGCCGCGATGCCTTTGGCAGATGGCACGGCGAACTGGTGACTGGTGAGGGATGGCGCGAGCTGCAAAAGTTTGGGCTTTCTAGGGGGTAAGTCCCGATTCAAAGCAGACTCTGGTTGTCACAAACTGCTGACGCGACCCTGTTAGCATCGTTGCCACTGGCTATGACACGCCATATGGCGCATTCTCTCGCCCTCTGCAGTTTCTGCGTCTGCACCTCTGGGAGGCCTCGTCCGCCAATGTGACGTGCCCCTCTGCGATGCAGGATGGCGCGGCTGCTCTACTCAGGAGGCACTTGGCGTCTCGACGCATCAGCGAGGCAGAGCGCAAGGTCTTTGAGGATGCCTATCGCCGACTCATTTCTCGCGACCCGAGCGTTGCCTGGACCAGTGGTCAGTGGATGACGGAGCGCTCTGGAGGCAGCGACGTATCTCAGACTGAGACTGTTGCCACCTACCAGCCCGAGGAGGCTGAGGGCGCGCTCGCTTCGAGGGAAGGCAAGATACCCCTCGGACCGTGGAGTATCAATGGATTCAAATGGTTCTCGTCCGCAACAGACTCCAACATGACCATTCTGCTCGCCCGTACCTCGCAAGGCGGGCTGAGCACCTTTTTCGCGCCCATGCGGCGACACGACCCTACTGCCAAAACCATGACTGGACATCCCAAGGCAAACGGATCTCGGCTCAACGGCGTCTGGATCCAGCGGCTCAAGAACAAGCTGGGCACACAGTCGCTTCCGACTGCCGAGCTCGTCCTTGAAGATATGCGCGGCTGGAAGATTGGCGAGGAGGGCAGGGGCATCCAAGAGATTAGCACAATCTTGACTCTCACTAGGATTCACAACGTCGTTACAGCGTGCGGTTATGTTGGTCGCGGACTGGGTATCGCTAGGGCGTATGCGCGTCGACGAGAAGTTGGGGCTGGCCGCGGTGCCCGGATGAAGCTGACCGAGAGCACGTTGCATATGCGCACTCTGGCGAACCTGACGGCCGAGTATCACGGATTGATGCTCCTCAGCAACTTCTGCGGCTATCTTTTGGGCATTTCGGAGCACGAGGCAACGCCGCCAACCTCGGCTCTCGCCGCTCTTACGCCGGCAGACCGTCTCATCGATCCCCTACTCCGCATCGTCGTGCCGCTCGCCAAAGCCTACGTGTGCAAGGCCTCTGTCCCGCTGCTGTACTCGTGCATGGAATCGCTCGGCGGCGTGGGCTATCTCGTCAACGAAGAGCAGGAATATCTCAATGTGGCTCGACTTTACCGCGACTGCTGTGTTTTACCCATCTGGGAGGGCACAACCGACGTCTTGTGCACGGATATGATTCGCGCACTCAAGCATCCCAAGACAGGCGCTCAATCGCTGGATGCTCTCGAGAACTTTATCAAAACTTCATCCGCCCTTGAGAACGAAACTACTGTCTCCAAACCCCCTGACTGGGACCCCGTAGCCAAGTGGACTGCTATGCGAACATATATTGACGAGAAGAAGCAGGCCGACCTGGTTGGCGAGGGCAGGGAGATTCTATGGGACATTGCCGAGATTCTCATTTCCCTGTTGCTCTTCGTTGATGCCAGCACCGATGGAAACGAGGCGGCGCAAGAAATCTTCCGCCGGTTTGTCCAGGACAAGTTTTCGAGGGAGAAGCGCAGGAGGAATACTACGGCGGAGGAGCTGAGCAGGGACTTGACCATTGTGTACGGCGTCGAGGAGGCGGCGGCTGTGAACAGGGAGATTGTTCCGAAACTGTAACAAAATAGCTGTATCTTGGGCACAGAGCATCATTATTCTTGTTTGTTTTTTTAAGGAAATTAGGATGGGTAGGGAAGGGTTGGGATTCGATCGATATTGCATTTCTTGGCGGTTACTATGTACGTTTAATTTATATCTAGCAAAAATATTTGGAGTGACCGGCACTCAGTAGCTGCATAATATTTACATGAAAATAGTTGAGAGAAGGCTTGACGCCCAATCTCTGTTTCTGCGCAACTTAACGTGTGAAGCGAAGACTAAGTTCTTGATACGGCGTCCTCTGCCTGCCTTGACTTTGGGCGTAGTCAAGCAGTTGGAAGTGGAGGGTTGTTTAACTGGTGAAGCCCGTGCATGTACCCTTGAGACCTGTGGCCTCCAGCTGGATATTCCTGCACCCAGATACCCCTGTGGCTCCAGACGAGATGAATTCGCCTCCGCTTGTGTTGGGGCACGCTTGATACGCGGGAGAGCCGTTATGTAGCAACAAAGGAGTGCTGCTACTGCGGCCATTATGACCTAGCGCCCACTTGTCATCACCAGGAGTAGGATCAAGGCACTGAAAGTGTCCATCCCAGGCAATGATGCAAGCGTTGTTGAAGCCATCACCCCACAGAATGGGCCGAGTAGTGTCTGAGAGATTGATGCAATACGAGCCTAACGGCTGGCTCGCGTCGAAGTAGAGGAAGCCGTATTCCGTGTTCTGCTGGACAGTTTTACCAGTTGATGGATCTGAGAGTGTGAAGCAGCAGTAGCCGGGTGGTACGCTGTTGTCTCGTGGGATAACGGCGGCAGATGATATTGAGGAAAAGAGGAGGAGGAATAGCTTGGAGGAGAGCATTTTATAGTTTGTTTGGTGTTGTGCTTTATAGAGAGTTGCTTTAGAATATATAGTGCTTCGACTGAGCGCAATCTTCTCCAAGATGTTGTTTGAACAATAAGTATACTTACTCCATGTAACTTACACGCAGGAAGAGGAGGCAATTTATACTTGGATCTCAGCCTCGACTTCTACCGCTAACTCGCACCGGCAACAAGGGCACCGTGCAATGAACATTGTTCATCTCGCCGCATTGGCTGGACAAGTGAAGCTAAGAGCCCGCAATGTAAGTGACCATCACGTCCATCACACGGCGCATTGCCCATGCCGAGACATTGAATGGCACTTGACCAAGCTCCACCAGCGATTATGCTTTTTCTTGCTTTTTGAAACAAAAAGCCTGTAAGCGCCCTGCCAGTGATATCCCCCGGAAGCTTGGTGACGGACGTGGCGAATCAGAGTCGAGAGCATGTCTAGCTCTGGCCGGTAGCGGATTCCCCCTTTCGGGCGCAAGATGCCCGATCACAGGCTGCTCTTGGCGATGACTGGCCAAGACGGGAGTTTCACCTACTTTGCTGGTGATGGGGGACGGCAGTTTTGTGAGGGGAAGATGCGGTCCGGGGGGGCTGCCGAATGGTTTGCTTGTTTGTGCTGTGATTGCAGGGGTTTGGGCTGTGATCTGACGGGATGGTCACGTTTGGAGCGATTTGGATTCAATTGACAAATAGCACTGCAGTTTTTACGTGATTGGCCTTGCATGATGAAGTAGTAGGTAAGCTTAAGAATTGACTAATAAGTAGCCAGGCAAGATGTATAACAATGCCTACTTGTGATTGGGGTGATGTTTTATGAACTTACTTTTTCACAGGACGGAGCACTCGTACTCGTATGCATGCAATGTATTAATCAGAGCACAAGTACGGAATAGTAGTATTATCAACGTTATTTGTGGATGGGCCACTGGTAAGATGACGGGCTGGGGCAAGTGAGACATTCATTTTTTTTTTTGCCTCCTTGTCGAAAGGAGAGACGTCTAATTTCAACTTCTCTTCGCATGGCCCATGGCACCAGGGATTATGTAGCACAGAGCAAAATCTAGCAATAGGGCTGTCTCTCCAAATTACATGCAATCTAGCCTCCACTCCAAGCCACATGCGAGTCTAGCCGCGTGAAATCCCACTTGCATGCCGTCCGGATTTTGACGCGTTTTCACGGCAAATCGGTTCATTCTTGATCCTGGCCAGCGCAATCTAATCAACCCACGAGGCTGCCAAAAGTTCCGCTGACGGGCTCGGTCGTGACTCACTCACTGCTCAGCTCCTTTTGCTGCTATACTCGTACAGTACAGCTTTTCCCCGGAGCCCCGTCTCGGAGCCGGCCGAGATTTCTCCAAGGCAGCGCCGGACTCCATACGGCAGACCGCTTCTCGTCTACCTCTCGGACAATCCTTGTCTCCCTCATCCTTGTCTTTGTTCCCTCGTTGATTCTTGATCCTACTGTACTCTCTTCGCAAGCGCATGTGACTGACGGGACGCCCAAATACCGTGCAAGCGCTCGCCCAAAATGCCCATGCCCGATGACCTGTGGGAGGCGCTCTCCCAAGACATTCCCACCACGTCGGATCCCTTCGTGAAGCAGTATCTGGCGGGCCGCGAGAGCCTCATCGGCAAGGAAAAGGAGACGAGATCAGATGCGTCCTTTCGCAAGTCCCTGTCGCCCATCGCCAGACGCGCCTGCGCCATCGTCGACCGCATCCGTGCCCATGAACAGGCCACCGTCTGGACGCCCAGCGTCGAGGAGCAGCTGGCCCAGGAGACCAAGCAGAGCATCTTCCCGGGCATGATGTTCATGATGGCCAAGGACCGCATGGAGAAGACCAACCTGTGGAGGATTGTGCGCCGCATGCCCAAGGGGTCTCTGCTGCATGCCCACATGGACGCCATGGTGGACTTTGACTTTATCCTCGGCGAGCTTCTCAAGACCCCCGGCATGCACATGTCCAGCGACGTGCCTCTCACAACGGATGAGTCCAGGGAGAGTTCGGTTGTGCGTTTTAGATTCAGGACCAAAGAAAGGGTAGACGGGTCGATATGGGACGAGAGCTACGAGCCGGGCTCGTTTTTGCTGCTCACCAAGGTGGCTGACGAGTTTCCCCAAGGCGGGCGGCCGGGGTTCTTGAAGTGGCTCAAGAGCCGGTGTACGCTCTCACTTATCGACAGCCACGAGCAGCACCACGGCATCGACGCCATCTGGGAAAAGTTTGCCAAGTGCTTCGTCGTTGTCGCGACCATGATACACTACGAGCCCATGTTCCGCGCCTTTTTGCGGCGCTTGATGGGGCTTCTCAAGGCCGACGGGGTCAACTGGGCCGAGCTTCGGTATGAAATGCCGATTTCTTCGCGTTTTCAAGATCAGTTCAAGACTTACACTGCGTACAGATTCACATGGCCACTCGACTATTGCCGTGACCGTAGAGAGGAGCCAGAGACGGACTACAGCCACGTGTGCAAGGTCATCCAAGAGGAAGTCGCCAAGTTCAAGGCTTCCGAGGAAGGCAAGGGATTCTGGGGCCTCACTCTCATCTGGACGACCCTCCGGAGCTTTGAGACTCGGCGTATAGTGGAGAACATGGATCACTGCATCACGACCAAGATGGAGTTCCCCAACCTCATAGCAGGATACGACCTCGTCGGACCCGAGGATCTGGGCAAGCCGCTGGTAAATCTACTGCCCGAACTCTTCTGGTTCCGAAAGCAGTGTGCGCAGGAGGGCGTCAACCTGCCGTTTTACTTTCACGCAGGCGAAACGCTCGGTGATGGCTCCAGCACAGACAACAACCTATTTGATGCCATATTGTTGGGCACTCGCCGCATAGGTCACGGATTCAGTCTATATAAACACCCCCTTCTCATTGACATGGTCAAGGACAAGCGGATCCTCATCGAATCGTGCCCCATCTCCAACGAAGTGCTCCGGCTGTGTGGATCGGTTACCGCCCACCCACTGCCGGCCCTCCTCGCCCGCGGCGTCCCGTGCAGCCTCTGCAACGATGACCCGGCCATGCTGGGCCAAAACACGGCGGGCATGTCCCACGACTTTTGGCAAACTCTTCAGGGATGGGATAACTTGGGCTTGGCTGGGCTTGGCAGCCTGGCGGAAAACAGCGTCCGGTGGTCAACGTTTGAGGACCAAGACCAGGAGCAGTGGGTCAAGGGCATTCAAGAGGCCAGCCTCGGAAGCGGTGTAAAAGCGGATAGGCTCAAGCAGTGGAGGGTGGACTGGGAGGCTTTCTGTTTGTGGATTGTGGATGAGTTTGGCGATGAGTTTGGCCCTGAGACGGAGGCGTAGCGTCTGAGTTGGAGGATGCTCATCTTGCACGACTATACGTTAGATGTATTCAACAAAACAGTCGCTGTTCATTATTCCGTGTCCTAGATGGTAAAGCACACAACTATGGGGAGGTATTGGGTAAGGTCTCTTGGCTGCTGCAGACGGATGTGCGTGATTCCCGTACTGGAGGGATCTACCTATCAATCTTTAGATGGCGATGGGTATAATGGATTGAAAATGTTAAATAATAGTAATAGGACCTAGATGGCAGACACTTGGAGCTTTAGATGATAGCAAGGGTGTTTCCTCCGTCTATAATAGTTTACATGACTACTTCAAACGCAGTCTCCCAAGTGCAAGATATGGAGGTACTCCCCACCACTGGCAATGTATCCCTCCAATTCTTGTGGCCTCTATCCATCCAAACCCTCTCCATCTGTGCGAGCACGTTCTTGGGATACAAATGCATCTTGTCTATGCTGCGTCATTAACAGCCGATAAGCCGTACATACCTGATCAGTCGGATCATTCCTTAGGCATCCATCCCGTCAAAATCACTCCCGAGACGCCAAGTGTCAGCCACCGCGAAATTCCCCGGGGAAAAACATCCCGACAGCTACCGCCGCTGAATTGCCTCAATTGCATCGTCCCGTCTACCCGTTGTGGGGATTCAGCTTCGGACCTTGAATAGTAGGCAGAAGCGAAAAGAATAGGTAGGTATACATACAATAGACGCATAAAAGGGCGAGCTGACATACATAGGTACATACCTAGGTATACATATACATAAAATCAAGCACATCCAATGTATTATTCGGGTACCTGATTGCCGTCCGGTGTGGTGCGTGGGTTAAATCCAGCCACGCCGCAAGGTACACGCAAGCGACATCCATCCCGTCCCCCTCGCCTTTGACTCCCCCTCCGTGCGAATTGTACTAACCCGTTTATCATCCTTTGCCCAGCCCTTTTTTCCAGCTCGCCTGTTTCTTCTCCTCCTCCTCAAATCCAGCCTCTCGTCAAAGAAAGCCATCACAACTCAGATTTCCCGCTTCGAGACATGTGTGAGACGGTGTCGCTTTTTCGCCCTCTGTGGCTTGCGCGGAACTCGTCGTCGACCCAATGGCCTGCTGCCAACACGCAGCAAAAGAATCGAGTGCTTACGAAGTGGCTGCCGGGTCTGAGACAGGCCGGGACGAAACAGACGAATCACCGGAAGCATGGGGGAAATGAGCCAGACACGGCCTGGGGCGTGGGCTCGGCCGACCACTGCGGGAAATTGGCCTTTGGGTATCGTGTCGTGTGCTATTTCCAATCCATTCCCCATGTAAAAAAAAAAAGTAGTGGTACTGCCTGTTACGGGCACTTCTTTCGTGCCACCAGACGGCAGAGGTGAAAGTCAAGTGAGGCCTTTGTATCTATCTGTTACAGGCCACTGCGAGCAAGTTGCTCCAAGATGCAGGCATTGATAGCTATTTTTGAATTCTTTGATCGCTCCCAGCTCGTTTGGTCCCGATTCCCAGTTTATCCCATGGACTATTTTGTTTGCTTTTTCCCTCAGGGGCTGCCCCAAAGGAAGCAAGCCCGACGCAACGCCCGCTCCAGTCCGTGACATGTGTTAATGCCAAGAAAAAAAAAAGAAGAGAGGAAAAAATCACAAGGGGGAAAAGTAGGAAAATCAAGAGGAGAAGAAGAAGAAGAAGAAGAAGAAGAAAGGGAGAAGAAGATATAAAAAAAGAAAACAAGATCAAACTCCGTGCCGTTCAAAATGCTTGAGTCCATATGCTTGCTAACCAGGCGCCGAATGTGACTGGCTGTACGTTGACGCTGCTGCTCCCGTTGACGGCTTCGTTCAGCGTCGCCTGCGAAAAATCATATCGCCCGTTGGCCGTCGCAACCAGCCTCTGATAGTATGCCAGCTTGTTATAGTCGCACAGCTGAGCAGAGTAGTTGAGGTACGTCTCCAGCTCGGCGTACTGCCGTACGAGCCGCGTAAACACCACTGACGACACCTACGTTAGCTATGTGTCTTGTGTCACCTGCCAGCTTTTTTTCCCTGGGCATGGGTATCCCAGGGAAAAAAGTACTGAGGATTGGGGGAGGCAAAGGCAAATCCAAACTGACCATTGGAGGCGGTGCTGCAAGCGTTGATGAGGTCTCGGACGGCCATGCGGTCGCCGCACATGGTAAACTCTTGGGGCCAATGTGAGGGCCCCAGGTCGACGGCTGCCACGACGAAGCGGACCACGTCGTAGACCGAAGTCAGGCAGACCCGTACTGAATGGCCCTTGGAGTCTCGCTCCGCATACTCGGCCGTGGCCGTGCTGAAGTTGACGAGGAACTCGCCAGCGCCGCCGACGCCTGAGCCGTGGCCAATGTTGAACGTGTTGCCGAGCCCGTAGGGGTGAAACCGCTCCATGAAGAGGCCGCACGAGAAGACGGTGTATTTCATTCGCGATGATTCGGACCACTGCTTCAGCAAGGCCAGCGCCTGCGACGACCCGCGATCCAGGGGATCGTTGCGTGACTGGCGGCGGCTGAGCGGCCCTTCGAACTCCGAGGGCACAAACATGCGGACGCGCCCGCGCCCGGAAGCGTCGATGAGGTTGAGCTGCTCGGCGCCCGAGATTGTTGAGATGACCAGGTCGACCCCCTGGAGCGCATAGCCAAGGCTGCCGTGGTCGTGATAGTCCACGACGTGAACTTGGACGTCAAACTGATCGAATTCGGGTCTTGCCTGCGCCGCAGGGGTTAACACGAAAAAGTCCTCTGAGCTCTCGAAGGGAACGCGGCGCGGAAAACCCAACAGATCTTGATAGAACGACGACGTTGTAGGCATTTGCCGCCTGTGCCAGTTCCGTCGCCAGCAGGAACCCGAAGCCTCTTCCGCCGGCGACTGCAATCCGCATCATGATGGTACCGTTTCCGCGGCCAGCTCGGGGGAGGGCCGCCGTCCCTCTTGTGTTTGTTTTTGCCCTCTTTCTTAGGCGTGAAATGTGATGTGTCGTGCTGCTTTCTTCCCTCGTTTTCTTTGGATAAACCGCCGTCCTGGCTTTTAATGGCGTCGCGGCGTCGCTGTAGTTGTGCGGTTCATGTGCGTATAAATACCAAACTGGGGGGGCCCTTCGATTTTCCGCGACATTGACGTTACATTCGCCCATACACACACCATGCTGCAATTGCCGTGCATATGCGACACGCAGAGCGAACGAATGGACAGACGTCTTGGCCTGCCGCGGGAAAAGGCCACATACATATGTGTGAGAGACCAACCCGTGCAGTAATCGCCCAGATACGCCACCCTATCCGAACCTCTCTGCCTCTCACTCCAAGGTAGTCACAAGAGAGACCCGGTGAAGGGAGGGAGAATGAGAGGGGGGAGGGGGGGAAAGCCTGGCCTTTTTTTTTTCTGTTTCGGGATACACTTCCTTTCACTTATGCCGCAGAGCCAATGCAATGTGTGTGAGCTTAGGGCGGCAGAAAGGCAGCCAGTACGAGACGGTTCCTTATTACATGCATATTTTGGCCCTCCGGCCGGAAAGGCCCGAGTAGGCCGCATCCTTTTGTTTACGGAATGGTGGCCTGTGAAGCAGGTGATATCAGGACCACAAGTTTTTTTTTTGGCGCCTTGGTTGAGTGATAGAATGGGTGACGATGGATGCAGCATCGCAGCGTTTGTGGTTCCTTTGTGGGGAAGACGGACATGAACCGCTGTCTGGCTACGGGCCACTGATCGCCTCACCGGGAGATCTCATTGAAAAAAAAAGGGACAAGAAGGGGTTTCAGACAGCTAAGCACAGTTTCGGCATAGAGTGCCGGCGTGTGTAAATCAAAAACCTGCCCGCCCCAGGGTCTGGAATCTTTGTGGCATGGCCACGGGCTTTGCCGGGAGCCCATTGGCCGGAGGGCGGTTTTGTGTAAACGAAGCCATCTCCATTCTTCTGGTCAGCTGGCGGGCAAGACAGATGAAAAAGGATGTGATGTCTATCATTTCATGCATCCACCACTTCTCTTTGGGCTAGGTTCCTGTGGAAACAGGCAAGGATCCGAAGTACCCAAGCAGAGCCGCTCCAACCACAAAAAGGGGGGGACAGAGAGAGACAAGGAGCAAAAAAGAAGTACTAGCGAGAGAGAGAGAGAGAAATCTGCCGCATTGATAAGCCGCCGTTGACAATCACAAGATGCCGAACCGCCTCGGAATGCAAAAAAAAAACCTTAGTGTCGACTTTGGCAAAGCTTGCTATCGGAGAAGGGCATGATAGCGGCGTCGCTACCGCTAGGAGATGCATCTAACGCTGCCTAACAAGGCCAAATTCATGCAGAAGCGGAGGCGGCTTTCATGGTCTCTCAATCAAGGAAGAGAAGCAAGAGGAAAAAAAAGTGTCAATTTAGCCGAGACAGGCAGGGTACCCGGTCAGTACAACGGTGAGTATGCAATGCACGTGTTGTGTATCCGGTTCCCCGACGATCACAGTCCTCTGTTCCGTTTCTGAGGATTTCCCATTGTGCTTACAGGTAGGTACAAGTACGGTGTGCTTCGGGGTTTGGGTCGAAATCTCTTATATGGAGTCGACTAGGGGGTGGACATTCGGCCATTTTGGTCGGCCGACGATTGTGTCGGGGTTATGGCAAAACTCAAATATGCAGCCATGGAAACGAAGCTACGGGGATGAGGCACTTTTTCGACAGCATAGCACGTAATGGCCGTGGGTCGAAAAGCGGTTTCTTCCTCCGTCTCGGGTTCCCTAATCAAGAGCATCCAGAACGACACTCATTATATGAAGCTCTAGAAGACCCAACAAACTTACACGCCGCAATGGCCTCGCGACATAACAAGAAGAAACTCGCTGTGGGGCTAGAACAAGCACCACGGCTCGGATCTTTCCTCGGGCTAGGCCTAGGGTGAATGGCGATAGTACGAGTACCATCCAAAGCATCGCGAAATCGATCACCGATCCCACCGCATCTCGCGCTCACAGGAGCACCACGGCGGAGCCTCACTCCCCTAACCCGTTGGTACGCCTTGTAATTGGCGAGAGAGTAGCATGCAAGGTCACAAAAGGTTTTAGCACAGGCCCGGCAGAGTGCAGAGATGTATGTATGCTGGCCTACTGCAGCAAGCTACGCTTTCGAAGGATTTGGGGGCCAAGGATGCAACCACGGCACATCGGAGATCGGCAGCCTGACTCGTAGGGCTGAAGCTGAAAAAAAAAAAGAGCACCATTTTACTGGCTGCGTTCTTTGCTGAGAACCGAGTCTAGCTGACGGTATCGTTGTTCTAAATTCGCGACCTGACCGGGGGGTTGTCTTATACCCCTATTTGGAAGGCGTTGGCTGGTCCTGTGCAACTTTGACCCGTTGTCAAGTTGGTTGTTTTTTGAGACCAGACAAGTACATGCATACTTTGTAAATAGGGCTGAGATTACTGCTTACTGGTTACCGGTCTGTGGCATGGATCAGACCTGCTCCTACGGATCCTTCAACATTCAGCCTAGCTTACGGAAGGTGATCAGTTTCCCTTTTTATATCATAATCATAACCCTTGTCTTTTCAAAAACATCTGCTGCCTGCTTTTGCATCTGCTAATACCTGAAAATGCCCTATTAAGCCTGCAAAGCAGTCTCTTCTCTGGCCGCGAAACTGCCCTTGCTCCAGCTCTCGGTGACATCCGCTCTTTTCCTTTCCTTGCTCTTTTCGCCTGGCTTTCCCCAGCCTCCGCCTCCCGGGGTGCATATGATGATGCGGTCCCCTGCCGACATGGCAGCCGTGTTCTTGGCTCCCAGGTTGATGTGCCGCTCTTCGTATTCCGTCTGCCCTGAGTCCTCTTCTCCCTGGAGCTTCTTGAGGGACCGTTCCCAGTTCGCCTTTTCCACTTTTCTCACCCACAGGTTCAATCCACACTGGGCGTCCTCGCCGCCGTTCAGGCCGTATGGACGGTACACACGTCTCTCGCTGAGGATAGACACTTGCAGGGGTATGCGGAACTCGATATCTCGGATGACTCCGTCGCCACCGCGGTGCTGACCATCGCCTCCCGATCCTTTTCGAATGGAAAACTCCTTCAAGATGACGGGATATCTTCGCTCAAAGATCTCCGAGTCCGTGATTCTCGTGTTGGTCATATGGACGTGCACACCGCTCGTGCCAACCCAGTCGGGTCCGGCACCGCTTCCACCTGCAATGGTCTCGTAGTAGCCAAAGCCCTTGACGGCTTGCTTGCCGGATTGGTTTCCTCCAAAGCCGAACGTGAGGTTGTTGCAGCATCCCTGGCTGGCGGCGCAGGCTTGGAAAGCCTTGAACACGACGTCGGTAATTCTCTGGCTGGTGAGCACGTTTCCACCGACCACAGCCGCGTTGCCAGACGGCGAAAGGAGGGATTTGGGAGGAATCTTGACGTGGATCGGCTTCAGACATCCTTGGTTCAAGGGGATATCTTCAGAGATGAGGCAGCGTAGGCAGTAGATGATGGCGCTGAAAGTGATTGCCTGGGGAGCATTGATGTTGCCGTACACTTCGGGCCCAGTTCCTTCAAAGTCAAACTCGGCCTCGCCTGCTTTGGGGTCGATGGTGACTTTGAGCCGAATGGGCGTTCCGTCGTCCATGTAGTCTACAGCAGATAGCTCCTTGCCCTCGAACCGCTTATAGACGTCCTTGAGCAGTCGTCGAACGCACATCTCGGCATTCTTCTGAATGTTTACCATGTAAAACTGGACAGTCTCCTCACCGTATTCATCAATCAGAGTCTCGATGAGAGAGATGCCCTTGTTGTTGGCAGATACCTGCGCTTTGAGGTCGTTGATGTTATCTGCAAGGCTTCGAGTCCCGCTGCATCCAGGGTACTGGGCCGGCTCATTGTAGAAGAGCTCGATCACCCGCTCCTCGTCGAACTTGCCGCCGCTGACCAACTTTTCGCTCTTGATGGAGGCTCCCTCTTGGAATAGCTCGCGAGAGTGCGGTGGCATGCTACCGGCGCTGATTCCACCAATGTCCGCGTGGTGGGCTCGGGATGCTGCGTAAAAGAGAATGTTCTCGCCCTTGGGGTCGAAAGCGGGCATCACCAGCGTCACGTCTGGAAGATGGGTGCCGCCGTACGAAGGGTGGTTGGAGATGATGACGTCTCCCTTCTGTAGGCGTCCTTTCCAGATCTCTGCTTGTCGGCGGACCAAGTGGCTCATACTTCCCAGATGCACGGGCAAGTGTGGTGCGTTGGCTACGAGGTTGCCAGAGGCATCAAATATGGCACAGGAGAAATCGAGCCTTTCTTTGACGTTTGTGCTGACGCTCGTCTTTTGTAGGGCTCGGCCCATTTGTTCTGCAATGGCCATGAATCTGTGTCCGAAGATGCTGAGCATGATGGGGTCAACCTCGCGGTCTCCTCCGGTGTTGTGGGACCTATTGATGATTAGTTCACTTCTGACGTGCTGGAGAGATCTTTTAACGTACTCATCTTTGGTGCCTTGTTTTGAAATATCCAATACAACATGTGTTCCCGTAATGAGAGCCTTGGTACGTGGAGTCACGACAATGGTTTGAGTTCCGTCTGCTAGCATAGCTGGTCCGTTGATCACATCGCCCTCATTCAAGTCCTTGAGCTTGTAAACAGGAGTCTTGACTCTGCCGCCTTCAAAATAGACTTCTTGCTCACTATGCTGCGTCTTCGAGGGAGCGTCCCGTCTTTTGATCGATTTGAGCTGCTGGTCAATGGTTTTTTCTTGGTGGCGGAAGCTTTTTCCAATTCCTCGTACTCTAACGTCGTCCACAATGATATCTCGATCATCCAGCGTGAAGCCAAACTCGTAGCGATGGTGCTTGACAAAAGCCTTGCCAAATTCCCAGTCTTTGCCATCGAAACTCGCCTTTGCTTCTTCTTTGCTAGGCTTGATAATCATGAGAGCGCTCTCAGTGCCGCGGTATCTGCAATTGAGGTACTCCTCAAACACAATCTCGTTCTCATCAAAACCTTGGTCTTTCAAAGCGGCTCGTGACTTGTCCTTCAACTTCTCCATCTTGGCCTTCAGCTCGGTAACTACTTTGCCGTTGTCTTCCCAGACTGAAGAATCCGGTTCTTGTCGCTCATCTACAACGTCTGCAAGTGCCATGCCGTAGGCAGAGAGCACAGATGAGTATCGGTGGACAAGGATCTGGCTAATGCCGAGAGACTCTGCGATAGCGACAGCATGTTGGCCGCCAGCACCGCCAAAAGTTGCCAGACGGTGTTTAGAGGTATCGTGGCCCTTTGCTTCGGTGATGGATCGGATGGGTCGTGTCATGGTCTCGTTTGCAACTGTTAGGAATCCAAAAGCGACCTCATCCACGGACAGGTTCTTTCCAGTCTCTTGGTTGACTTGGTCCGTCAGCTCCTGTAGCACCTTTTTGCTCGCCTCCAGATCCAGTCCCTCATCCTCATTTTTGCCAAAGATCTTAGGGAAGAATTCTGGTAGAAGACGGCCCAGGTACAAGTTGGCATCTGTGACAGTCGCAGGACCACCTTTTCGGTAGCAGGCAGGGCCGGGATGAGCACCGGCGGACTCAGGTCCCACGACGAACAGCCCGTTGCGGAAGAACAGACGAGAGCCACCGCCAGCGGCGACAGTGTTGATGTCCAGCTGAGGAGACTGAATCGTGACGCCGGCGGTGGTTGTTTCAAAGACGTGCTCATATCGGCCCTCTCCGTAACGAGAGACGTCTGTACTGGTGCCTCCCTATTTCATTATTAGATTTAACCATGGCTCGAAGTTTGATGTTAAGGGGAGATTTTACCATGTCAAATCCAATAACGGGAACTCTCGTCTCTTCATCGTAGGATGTCATGGCATATCCCACCACACCTCCTGCGGGACCAGATAAAATAGCCTTGAGACCCGTAAACTTGTCGACGTCAACGAGACCGCCGTCACTCTGCATAAACTCGCAACGAGCGCCCTTGGGGCCTTTTTCGTGCTTGACGCTCTCCGTGCCCAGGCCGCCTTCAAATCCCGCCTGGAAGCCATCTATGTACTTCCGAATTGCAGGAGTCAGATACGCATCTGCGCAGACTGAAGTTGCTCGCGGTACAAGCTTCACCATGGGCATCAGCTCGTGGCTGAGTGAGATATGTTGAAAGCCAATCTCCTTTGCGATGTTGCCTATCAGAGCCTCGTGCTCGGGGAATGTATATCCGTGCATAAGACACACGGCTATGCTGCGAATTCCAGAGTCATAAACCTTTTGCAGCTTCTCTCTGATGTCGTCGTGTTCGGGGCGTCTCAATATCCTGACCGTCTCGCCGGAAAGACCCCTGACCAGATCTTTGCCCTCGGCCTCCTTGGTGCCCGCCTGAGCATCTGTCGCCGTGATTTTCCTCTCCGGGTCTTCAGCATAATCTTCCAGTGTGACTCGCTCGTCAATTTCCACGACCTGCTCATACAAGACATCCGGCTTCCTGATGGCGAGGTCAAAGATCTTGGGCCTGGACTGGTTGCCAATCGTCAAGCAGTCCTTGAACCCCTTTGTGACGATCATGGCAATCTTCTCGCCCTTCCTTTCCAGCAACGCATTCGTCGCCACGGTAGTGCCCATACGTATGGAATCAATCTTGGACGTGTCCAAGGGCTCGCCGCGGGGGATCTCCCGCTTGAGGAAATGGCTCATGATGCGCCGGATGCCCTCGAGCGGCGCGTCTTTGTAGTTTGCCGGGTCCTCGGAGAGGAGCTTGATGATGATTTCCTCGCCATTGTGTTCGCCAACGCAGTCGGTGAAGGTGCCGCCTCGGTCGATTGCTATGCGAATGCCGCGCTCCTTGGATGAGTTTGCCATGGTGGGTGATGGTGAGATGACAAAACGGAAAAGCTATGGAGATGGAGGGGTATCACAAAAATGAGTGTTGAGAAACAGACGATGAGCTTGATGAGAGAGAGTAGCACTTAAACGGCCTAATGATACAATATATATTACATCGACTCAGCTGCTTAGTGAGCAATTATCTCATAGACAGCGAAGTCGGATTAATGTGTAACTACGTGAGGCGATGATTGCCGAGAAAGGCGTATTTGCGTCTACTTTGGATGGCGGGGTGTGGAGAGCTCCAGTCTTAGTCCTCACAACGGCGGGGTTCCGTCTCCGTAGGAACAACATGATCGATTATACCTGGCAAGAGAAGATGCATCCAACATCTTTCGGCGTAAGTATACGCTTTGATTGGTGTTTCCATCTCCATCTTTGCTGTCACTCAGCATTATGAGGGAGACATCATAGAGTATCAACCAACAGCACTTACTCGTTGGCTCTTCCGTTCCATTGACAACAGCCCTTGCGAACCCAATACTAGACAACTAACAGACAGCATTACTCCACAGCGCGGGAACTGCTAAAATCAAGTCGGGCAGAGATACGTAATTGTCTGACTGTGGAGAGCTCATAGCGCACAACTTGCCTCCTCCACACATCCAACTATCAAGGCACTTTGGCCGAGAGGTCTAAGGCGCCGTGTTCAGGTTTAACTTGCTTCGCGGTCTAGTAATAGGCGAGGGTTCGAATCCCTCAGGTGTCAATTTTTGTCCTCGTCGCTCTGTGTTGTGAATATCGCGACAATACGAGGGTTTCCCTTTTTGCCCCCACTGCCTATTTGGGATGCTCTACAAAGTACATAGGTACATGCACTCTCCCTTTCTGTCACCACGTCTTTCAAGTCTGGTCACGCCATTCGATGTACAAAGTATATGAAGTATTACTAGGTAGTATTATATATAGCTCATTGTGAACCAAGGAATTATATATTACAAGCTTTACGCCCACCCTCATGTGCGCCGTGCGGCAATGATTCTATGAGTCCTTCGCTGATAACTCCTCTAACAGTTAGGTATTGTCTATATGTGCAGGTTTGTGACACGGTAAAGAAAAATAATGAAAAGATCACCTCCTCCGCTTTCTTGGAGACTCGTCGGGACTTTTACCAGCCGGTCGCTTCTGAGAACTCGGCCCTCTGTTCCGACCAGTGACGTCCTTGTTTCCATACTCACTGCATTCACCATCCTCCATCTCGCTATCCTCGCTTTCCGACAATATATGATCACCTTGTTCAAGGTGATAAGCCCAAGCATTGGCACCGTTTCTCACATGATACTTCTCCAGATCGTCTCTGAGAGCAGTAGCCATCGAAAGGGCATACTCTTGACAGTTTCGAAGCATGGTAACGCCCTGAATAAACTCAAAATAAGATCTCATCAGGTTCACCGATGCGATAGGGTATTGGTGATATTCCACCTTGCCCTCAGCCGACGTCGACGCATAGTGCGCAAAGAAGTTGATGTACGTGCCGTTCGTGGTAAAAGTTATGATTCCAGCCATGTCTTTTATAACTTCTACCCTCATGTGGTCTAGAGCTAGGTTCCTCATGTAGACGAGTGCCGCTCCGTGGCGTGCGCTTAATGCCTCTAGATCGTTGACATCTCCGGCTGTGAAGTCGCCGGCGATGTGTGGGAGAACAAGCGAAGCATGATCGTGAAAGACGCATACGGCCGCTGATAGATATTCGATTTTCATACACGAGTAAGCTGCCACGCTAAAGCCTTGGGCGAATCCGGGACGGGGCTTCTCGATTCCCCGAGAGAAGGTTGCGTACTCGGGGAACTCATCGAAGCGCTGGTAGAATGATCTGATGTACTCGGGCTTGTTTGGAAAATCTTGAAACAGTGGCATCATTTCGCACATGATGGCTTCTTTCGTTGTGCTCGTGTAAGAATGTCTCGCGTATGTCTGCCACTTGTGGGAAGGCCAGTCAGGCACATGGCGTGAAGATTTGAGTCGGCTTCGTAGCCATCCCAAGTTTTTCGGTGGTCTGGACAAATCCAATGTGAGAACACCGTTGCGCAGCTGTACAGCCGGATAGTCGTTTGAGGGGACGAGATGGTTGTCGAAGATCTTGGGAGCAGCGCTCATGGTGCGGTTTATATGTTTCAGAATGTCCTTTTCTGCCTGTTGTAGGTGGTCGTTCGCCACTGGGACAAGAATCGTGTCATTGGGTTTCTGGTTCCGATTATCTCTCCTGATTTGCTGCAAAAGAGGATACCAAGGCGCGAACCTCTCTGGTCCGTCCTGACTTTCAATTTCCATTGGCGTGGCGACATTTTGGGGTTTTCTTGGGGAGCGCCGTGGAAGAACCTGCGGCTCATCTGGGTAATTCGCCATGGTTGTGTTTCGCTGCCTTTCTTTTCGTGGCATGCTTAGCTTTGGATAGAATCTCGTGATTAACAATAGCCATCTATGGGCGTCCGTCTTCTCTGTATGTAATATTTGAGGCTATTGGGGAATGGGTATGGTGAGATGTACTATGACGAATTATACAGAGCAATCATGGCGTAGAAAAAATTATATATACTGGAAGTTGAGCAGATTCACATGTTTCTGTTATGTTACATCGGATTCTTCATCCTGTAGTGAATCGCTAGCCATTGTTCAATGCTGGTTGAAGATGCATTGTTCGGCAACAACTGATAATGTCCATACAATTCTGTTGTATGTTGAAAGGTTCTTTCTCATCTTATTGAATGCTTCAAATCCGATACATTCTTTGCACTACCAGGATGGTGAACATATTGAGACACAAAGGCGGCCGATGCTGGTCAGCAAACACAATGGCACAAAGAGCCGTCATGAAAGCCAGCGGAGTGATTTGGCCTCTTTGAAGACTGTTCCTTTGTAGATCTGTTCAAAATTACCTGATTTCTATAATTGATTATTTTTATTATAAAGAATTTTACCGACGTGTTTCACATTGCATGTGTTCATATTGCCAGCCAGTCGTTTTTTATTCCTTTGCAAATAGCCGGTCTATAGTTCGTATGTCAAGAACAACTTTGTCGTCTCATGGATCAAAAAGTATCCATTCTAGTTCATTCATTCTAGTTCAAATTTTCCTTTGGCCCACGTTCAGACAGGTTCCAGGTTTGTACTCCGTGTATGTGGTTGTCGTGTTGCAATGGCATGCATGCAGCCGGTGTGGTGATGAACCTGGGCCCTCTCACAGCGTCACACAACACGCAGCACGATACTGAACAAGTACCAAATAAATAACTGGCGGTGATAAGCGCCGTATCAATGCGGTGTGCGACTCACTGTCCTGAAGTCTACTGTAATTACTACAGGTACATAAACTCATGCAGCCAAGCGGCTTCTAGTATTTACAAATGGGCTTTCGCATGTGAACCACCACTGCATTGGTTACAGCTTAGGGGGCTATAAGTGTTTGCTATTAATAGAAACATCACGCCAAGTCTATATTATTGTGATCTTTGTATTGTGCACTATAACCTTTTATGAAACAGCCCAGGGCGCGTTAGAGTCGACATGAGACTTTGTTACCGTCACCAGTTTTGTAAACACTTCTAATCAATGCCGCCCAAGAGAAAAATACGAAGTAGTTACACACCAAAAGATACTGGCTGCAGTTAGCCTAACCTTGAGAGCATGTTTGTACAATAGACTCTCCTTACTGGCGATAGATAGTAGCCATAGGCCAATCAATATGTAGCTGTTGATGAGAAATGGAACACAGAATTACACGCGCAACGCATAGCCCGCAAATTCCTGATTTCTTGCATCACAACATAGCCGCCCATTAGTTAGCTCTTGAGTATTCATGAGGCACTGCCTTTACGCATACATACTTAAACAAGCATGAAAAGCGAAATTATCAACGTGTCGTATTCTTTGTCAATCTGGTCTCAACACTTATCCAGAACATGCAAGTTTACAACAACATGAGACGACATTTCAGGAAGATTACCAATTTCCTATCGAGAAAGAGGAAGAATGGTGGAAATACAAATGGCGTAACATCTTCTTCCACTGCGCTCAAAGATACTCATGATCCTTTAATCACAATACCCGCAACCTCTGTACCACAGTCTCCTCATTCGCAGTCTGTGCCAGAGCAGCTTGTGCCCAAGCAAGCCGCTTCCCTGGCACGCACCGGCCATGACACATGGGCTCTCGCGTTTGAAATGGCTCGAGAGAGAGAGAGCAAGTCAATGCTTGCCTATGAGCAATATCTATCCTCTCTACAAAGCGATAGCGCAGCCTGTGGAGACTTCTCAACCCCCGAGTTCATCAAATCGATTGTGGAATGGGCGATAGAAGATAGAGAGAGAAAGAGGTGGCGCGTCTCACTCCTTGGTACAGATATCGAGGTAAGAGCACAAGCTGAGAGGCTGACAAAGTTCCTCCTCTGGTTCGAGTCAATCGTACGGCTGCAGTGAGCAATCAGCCATACGCAGCATTGGCGTGGTCCGGTACCTCACTACTTCTTCCGGTACGTTTACTGCATTCTGATCCTTCAGGCTCCTGCTTACCATATTAGCTCGTCACACAAGGATTTGCACAGAACAAGACTATGCTGAAGGGTTTTAACTGGATTGGCGATATACAAATATACTGGCGAATCTGCGGGGAGACATATCTTCTTGCCCTAGACGATTTGTCCTACCAACAACACTTGGCCAAGCTGTATTCTCAATATAATCGAATACCAGGCTCGAGTGATTTGTCATCTCTCTAGACACTAGCTCTGCCGAGGATGGAATGATATAATCAACCCTGACGTATGGGAGGAGAAGATACAGAATATTCACCAACTGGATGATGAATGCCGCAATCTCCTCCATGTTGCCAATGCAGATCAGATTGAAAGAAATTGGAAGCAACAGCTGCTGGAGATGCAAGAGTCACGGATTTTGCTCAATAGAATCCACGGTACCCTCATGGAAAGCGAATCAGAGGCCCAAAAGAGCTACAAAGACCAGAAAGAGAAAGGCCTCCTTCAAGCTCTCGCGTCCGATTACGAAGGTCACAAAGACTTCACTCCACGCAAGGTGGACGGAACTTGTGAATGGTTTTTTACTGAAGAATGATTTCGCAAATGGCGAAATAGTGATATCTCTAGCCTTCTCTGGGTCTCTGCAGCTACAACGGAGTGCCGGTTTGAATCTCATGCCGCCTTGCAAGATGAGGTTTGGCCCTTAGGCAATTTTAAAAATGATATTAAAAACTTACGCGGGCTATTTATCAGAGTTGATGATGGAACGTTATCCTTTATTCACCAAACAGCGAGAGAATTCCTTACCCATTCACAAAGACAAGGAGAATGGCAGGGACGCTTCAAGGACATAGCGAAATCACACAGCATGATGTCCTCAATATGCATTGAATATTTACTCTTGCCAGATCTCGCAAAGATTTCCCTCAAAAGAGTTGGTTTTCAGCGCTATCCGTTCACAAGGGCTTCCAGCAAAACAGCTGGTATTCAAGACTATCCGCTGCTTTCATACGCCGCTAGATCCTGGCTGTTACATTATCGTTTGCAGGAAGCCGTGGAAGCCAGCTCGTCCTAGAAGGATGCTGTGGCACTTTGTCGCACAACCAGAGCTTGAGCGCCACATTACATGTCCAGGCAGATGTGTGAATGGAAACATTGGACGAGTCTTGATTTTGCTAGCAAACTCGGCCTCGACCAAGTATTTCAAGAGCTCCTGCTTGAGGGGGTAGGTTCAACCATAGATATCAACACCGCGCTGTATAATGCATCGACAAATGGTCATAAACAGACTGTTCAGCGGCTGCTGGATACTGGCGCTGATGGTAACATTCAAAATGAGGTTATTGACGGTACAAAAGTTAAACGAACACCAGGACATTATAACAGAGAGATTAGACAGATATCGACACATGATAGCACAGGTAGTATCAGTGTTGCGCGATCATGTAGTGGCGACACGGCACTACAAGGAGCATCAGGAGCAGGTCACAGAGGGATCGTTCGGATGCTGCTAGATAATGGCGCTGGTATTAACCATCGAGAACCCAATGGTGCACGGCACTTCAAGCAGTAGTAAAAGGTAGTAATAGTAGCAGAATCATTACTTTATTAGGTAGATACGCAGGTTATTAAACGTTTCCTTTGCATCTTGGTTTGCTTTGCACCTTGTCATGCCCTTTGAACCTCACACAGTCGTTGTGGTGTTGGACAGCCAATTCGGGGTGCTGGCAGTATTTCTCTCGAAAAATTATCGACACTTCATTCTCTCCTGTGGCCATTCATATTCTCCATCTCCCTACGATGGTGTGCCTCGCTGCCAAGGAATTTCGCTAGCAATTAGCCACGCCTTAAAGCCAACAACCAGCAGCCAAAGAAGAAGAAGAAAAAAACCTGGAACTTGCAGCTCAATCAATCAATCCATAACAGCCCATTATTTTTTTAGGCTCAGGCCCAATGCTTGTCTGCCAAACGCAACCATCCAGGATCATCATCAGCACCAACGAATGACAATCAACCTTCTAGCCAGGTATGACGCAATCGACTGTCTAGGCTGGTTACCCAATGCAGCAATCACGACACCATAACACGCATACAATGTGCTGTGCCTAGGAAAATCATTCGACAATGTTCCAAGGCCATCAATGCATTGTCTAGGCACACGTACGTTGGATTGATTCTATCCTACTCTACTGTAAGATAGCGTCTATGCACTCAAATACGAATCAATCACAATGATTCGCTTACCGGCGGCTGCCCGTGTTTGGGCAAGCGATGCCGCAAGGGACAAACCACGTTTTTTGCCCGAACCGGCCCTCCCAATGACGGAAGACGCAAACAAGAACTTTGGGGGGGGATGAGCATGTCGTATGTCTTGCCGTTTCAAAGGGGTCATGTGTGCCAGGTATGACGATGAAGCCCAAAGTTGGTGTTGCAGATCAACAGTCGCGGGCAGTCGCTGCCCATTCGCGAATGAATAAATCCAGCTGCTCTGTCCCTCCAGACAAGTCCAGCAGCCTCTCGTTGTTCATCCTCTCAGACCACATTGGCATCATCATCTCGCCTCCCTTTCATCTATTAAAGCAGGTCGCCCACAACATTCGTATCACACATCGCCACCAGGTACGCAACACCAAGGGAATCAACCAACAATGGCGCTCGATCGCATCGTCAACATCGTCCTGCGAGCCGCAGAGCTCGTCTTCGCTACCATCGTCGCCGGTGTGACGGGCCAGCACCTTCACCAGTTCCGCAATGCATCGTCCTGGTCCCAGGGCCGTTTCATTTACACCGAGGTGGTGGCGGCTCTGTCCATGTTCTTTGCGCTGATATGGCTCGTCCCCTTCTCTTGGTCCTTTGTGCACTGGCCGGTGGATCTCATCCTCAGCCTTGCCTGGTGGGCCGCCTTTGGCCTCTTGGTCAACGTAAGTGATACCCATACACTGTACATTGTACTCTGTCTCCCCTTTCGATGGCATTGATGCTGATTTTTTGGTCGTTTAGTTGCTGGGTAACTCTTGTGGCTACGTCTTCGACTGGAACAATGTCCACCCCATCAATGGTGACCAGTGTGGCAAGTTCAAGGCCGACATTGCCTTTACCTTCCTTTCAGCTCTTCTCTGGCTCGTTTCCGCCCTGCTCGGCATTTTCTGGGTTCAAAGCCATGAGCGTCGCGCTGCCCGAGTCGATGCTGCCCACCGCCAGCACCACCGCCGCTGGTACCGACGAAGCCGCGTCTAAGTGCCATCACGGTGTTGGCACGACCACAGACGATACACAATCATTCATGATACCCCAAATACCCTTGATTTTATACTTTGCTTCGTCGTCTTTGCTTCAAAATGATCTGAAAAGGAGGTTGGGGTCGAGTGGGATGAGAGGAGGGTGTGAGAAGAAAATTATCGCTTTGGAATAATGTTTTGCTGCTACAGTCCTTCCCATAATACCCGTTTCCCTAATGACTTTATAACGACTATACCCCAGTTAAGCTAGTACTTACTTAATTAATATTCTTTTGTCTTGCTGCTCACGGCACGCATCTGCTTATTGCTATCGTGCTTATCTGGTTAACATGTCCTGAACCTTGAGAGGATAAATGGCCGACATGGCGCGCCGTATCTAACCTGATTCTTGTTCTTGTGGTGTTCTGTAAAAGAGAGTTTCAACCAAGGATTCCTTTCTAGTAATGAAAATCCAGTTTCGTGCTACTGTATGATATGGATACAATGTCCGGCATATGCTAGTTGAGGCTTGTAAAACCTTTGGTCCACCGACGCCATAACATGGAGTTCCGGCCAGCATAAGCTTCAGGCTTCTATCCAAAGGGACCCCCAGTGTAGATCTTCCCGTCAACGTCACTTGCCCAAACTTGCAGTGCCACAGCAGCAGCAGCATTCCACCAATCCAACACGATGAATTCCTGCTTGTCGAAAACCAAGTCTTGTGCTCCAGCCCCAGAGTGATCCTCACCAGCCACAGCTAAACGGATGATGCAACGATGATTGTTGCAAAGCCGCCACTCTTGACTCTCCGAGCTCCACCAAACAGCTCGGCCCCACCGCTGCGTCATCGATAACTCAATCCAACTTCTTCGGCTGTTTCTTTGCATCACCAACACATGGTTTGATGGTCCAACCGCAAGCAAAGGCCGCGAGCTAACTTGCTTTCGTGCATTACCAGAGGTCCCTAAGCCTGTCAGGTTTACCTAATTCAAGTGATCTCCAGGGAACTAAAGTGGATTGGGGATGCGGCGCAAACACTCCGGGTGGGAGAGGTTTCTGACATCTGGGCCGCTCCACGTCACCACACCCCAGATATGACGGGTTGGAATATGGAGATGCAAACGCGTTACCTCATACCTATGCAGAAGAGGAGGCCATGAGATCTGTGGCTGCTCTGACAAGGTTACCAAGTAAGAGTATCCGTGGACAGATCGGGAAAGCTTCAGAGTCGAGCGCCATCGGTAGAGGTTACCGTGTGAGCCACAATGTCATCATAGCCAGCGATCAGTTGTTTGCGGGATGGTGGTTCAGACGAGAACTATATAGTTACCATGTTCCTCCGTAGTTCCCGGCCTTCTATCAGATCATTCCAACATCTTTTACTCAAACAAAACTCACATCTTTCACACTTACACTTACACACATTTTTGAAACACCATCACCATGTCTTCTCTCATCAACAAGGTCAAGGACAAGCTCCACTCTGACAACAAGACGGAGCAGTCTGAGGGCACTCATGGACCTCACAGCTCCCGCACCGCCAATGCTGCCGACCCTCGCGTCGACTCTGACCGCGACCACCGCGAGAATCTAGGCCGTCATGATGGCTCCTACACCTCCGGCGGAGACAACTACTCCTATGGCGGCGATAACACCTCCTCGGGCGTGACCGGCACTGGAGGAACTTTCGACTCCAGCAAGGGCTCTACTGGTTTTGGCTCTACCGCCGCCACTGGCCCTGCCTCCAAGACTGCCGGCACGCACAGCTCCAACATTGCCAACAAGGCCGACCCCAGAGTAGACTCTGATCTCGACGCCAGCCGCAACATGGGTCTCCGATCCAGCGGTGCCACCGCTGGAACTGATACTGGCACGGGTACATATGGAAGCTCCAACACACAATCCGAAACCACTGGCTTCGGCACCAGCACCGGCCCTGCCTCCAAGACTGCTGGAACTCACAGCTCCAACTTGGCCAACAAGGCTGACCCCAGAGTCGACTCTGACCTCGACGGCGGCCGCAACATGGGCCTCCGATCCAGCGGCGCTACCTACGATGCTCCCAGTGGCAACACTGGCACGACTGGTTCTTCCGGAACCGCAATGGGCTCTGGGATGGGCAGCGGCATGGGCACTGATACCCTCACCGGCAGCGGCGCCACTGGCACCTACGGCTCAACCGGCCGTGATACCTACGGTTCGACGGGCACTGGCACCTTGGGCTCATCTGGCACCGGCGCCTATGGTTCGACCGGCACTGATACCTTTGGCTCGACTGGCACCGGCGCCTATGGCTCGACCGGCACTGGCACTGATACCTATGGCTCGACCGGCACCCACACCCACGGCTCATCCGGCCTGGGCAGCACCGGTACGGGACACCACACCAAGGACACCACTAGCAGTGCATTCGGCGCTGGCACGGGCAGTACCGGTGGAAGCTTTGGAACTGCACGCAACCCTGGTCCAGCCCCCAACACAGCCGGCCCTCACAAGTCCGACATGATGAACAAGGCCGACCCCCGCGTGGACAGCGACCTCGACAACAGCAAGACCTTTATGGGCGACAAGACTTATTCCCAGTCGTGAGTGGGGTAGAATCTCCTGCCCCGAGGAAAGCCAACCTTTCGACTTGCTAATCAAATGGCTTCCCCAGGGACAGGACGACGGCCAAGGACCCCACGGATGCTGCTCAGGTGCCCCCTTCCGTCTTGCGGAAGCACATTGGCGAGCCGACCATTGAGCATGGTGATGCCAACTACGACCGCGTGCGGCGGCACAGCGTCTCTCACCAGGAACAGCATCGTGGGTTGTAAGGGCCACAGGGAACTTTGTTTTGATGGCTCATTGGATATCCAGTCTGTAACATTAAATGTATTTTTAGCGTCAGGTCAATGAAATGAAATGAAATTGCAACCCAAGGAAAAAGCAAATATAACATGTGAACGCGTACTCGTAGCTCTCGTCGTCTCGTCTAATCACACTGCTCCAGCCGTGCGCGTGACTTGCGGCCGCAGACTCAGTCCAAGCTGCCATGGGTATATCAGGCGGGGAGTGCAACATCCCCCCCTCTCAGCCCTTCGTATCTCGTCTCGTAGCTGTTAAAGACCCCTCCCCCCCGGGTTGCTTTGTTGCTCCGCACGAGAATCCGATCAAAAGAGACAGGTCAGATATGCACAGGCAACGCCCGGAGCATCACCCACGCGTACTCGTAATTGGCACGTCGTACGAGGTGCTGAGCATACAATTATTGGCAGCGCCATACGCGACAAGAGCCAATAGCGACGGAGCGAGCTCCGGATTGATCATCTATCAGACAAGCCACGCCGGTGCGGCTGACTTGAGCGAGGTAGCATTGGAGCAAGGGAGGCATCGGAAGCGGGTATATCGGCGAGGAGCTGAAGAGTGCAGAGCTGTCTCAGTCGGGAGATTTTGGGGAAAGGAGATTTGGGAGGGGGACGGAAACCGGGTTTCCGGGTGAAAAAGCAGCGGACGGAGTTTAGGCAGTCCGTGTACGGAGTATGAGATGTGAGGTGGTTGGATGGTACGAAGTAGGTTGAGATTAAGATTGAGATGAAGGTTGTTACATGGAGAGCTGAAGGGCGCAATAACTGCAGCGGAGAGTTGAGCGGTGCTACAGTGCACTCGTAACGCACTACAGGCGCCAACCTCACTGAATCGATCAGGTACAGCGTGGCATTGAGCGGCCACAGCACAAACCCCCACTCCTCCATCCCCGAAAACACCCCGCCAAGCTCTCAGCACTCGAGATCGGCTTCACTTCATCTCCTCTCCCCATCTTTTGCCTCTTCCCCCTGCTCGGAACCCGGAGATCGTTTGCAACCTCTACTGTACCAGGCTTCAACCAGCCGCAACCCGAGATTCTCCTTCCTTCGCCGGCAGCTCCGAAGTACGCAAGCAAGCAACTTGGCTGTACAGTAGACGACAGTCTTCGGAATCTCTTTTGCCGCAAAGCTGTTGGCAATTTCGCCATGGTTCCGCCATAGCATAACATAGCCCTCACCAAAGTTCCAACTTGGCATATCCAGAAACAAAAACATGTCCACTTCAGCCTCGTCCATACCCCAGGCGCTCTGGGCCGCACAGGTGCCCTTGCACATCACTCACCGGTCCGCGCCCTCTACACCCTTCATCACAAGCGTCCCACGCTTCAGCTACCTGTCGCTTCTGCTGCCGCGCCTGTCGGCCTTCTTCGACGCTCCCTGCTCCAGCTTTCACTTTGAGGATGTGCAGCTGAGGAACCTGGCGGTGGGGTTGCTGGCCGACCTGTACGCGCCTAGCCTGCCGTGGCGGCTGGTGGTGGATGATGGGGTTGCATGGGATATTGGCGATACTTTTCTGAATAGCGTCAAGGAGGTGAGCACCCTTTACCCCATTCATTCATCCCGTCCCGTCCCTAGTTTCTTTTCCGTTCCTCTCTCTTCCTTTTGTTTGCTCTCTTTTGCTGCAGGTACATGCTGTACTGCCCCCCCCCCCCCCCCCTCCTCCTCCTGCTCCCCCCATGCAACATCCACAGTTCCCCCCTCACACCGGCTCTGGAGACAAGACAGGTCATTGCTCATGCTGCAGTCAGGCCGACTTTGTTCGCTACGGCAACGCCAATCAGATCATGAAGATGTCCAAGGAACACACCACTCAGCTCTGGAACTCGGTCATTGACAACGACTATGCTGCGTTTTCCAAGATACACACACGCCTGCTCAACGCTCCAGCCACCCTCAAGCACGCCCCCATGCGGGTGTACATCCCCTCGACCCCCCCTGATGCAGGCGGTGATGGTTCCCCCTCTGCTCCCGCAGCCGGTGAAGCTGGGTCTTTCAGGATCGTCCAATCCTTGGTCCCTGTCATGACACCAGACCGCAAGCCCAAGCTGCTGGGGCAGGCTCTCAAGGACTTGATGCCCACGCTGTTCCCCAGCAGTCGAGACCCGGTGCTGGCGAGTGTGGTGCTTCACGGTGTGTCTGCTCCCTTTGACGCCCCCTTGGGAGAGATGATGAGGGAAGCTGCATATCCTGATGGGTGGCTTTGCTTTGTGGTTGTTGTTTAATTTGTCACTGGGTAGTTGTAGTTACACAGCCTTTGTGAAGGCATCAAGTTATATGATAGGAGTGGCGTCCGGGATGGGCTAGCGACTCAGGTCTTTTTTGTTGCCATATATAGACAGCACGGAGTTTGATTATCTACATTGATTCACTTTTCTAGCATGTGTGTGGACTTTTTCATATTTACAAGTCAGGTACGGCTAGGTAAACGTAATCTCTTTACCCATGAGGCTTCTATATGCGTTCTCAATAGCCTTCCTCTTTCTTTGCTTTACTTGCTCATCCACGCCAGCCTCTTCATCTTCGTCTGCATCTTCTGGACCGGGGAGTTGCGGCATCCATGCTCGTATCTGTCCATCCAAATGGGCACTGTAAATAGCTCCGATCGAGTTGCCACCTCCCATGGCCGGTCCAATTTGTCCATTGCCACCCCCTGTACTACGCCATGCAATGTTTGTAATGCGGTTCCGCCCCGTTTCACTGCCTCGAGGACCCGTAGAGAGCGTTGAGCCGGGGTTTCGAAGGCGACTGACCACGGTTCCGTCGTGGAGGTCCAGTAGGAGGATTTCTTGTTCGTTCGGCCAGACCAGAAGCTGGTGACCCGTGGAGAGACCTGACGGAGTGACCAGGAAACTTGCAGTTTTAGCGTGCTGGTTCTGCACGATAGACCCAAAGCTGGCAAGCGTGTTGGCTCCTGTATCGGTATCCCAAACTCTGATGCGGCGGTCAAGCCCAGCCGACACAATGTACCTCCCATCGTCGGTCCATTGCAGCCCGTTGACAGCGTCGTCGTGGGCCTGGGCTGAGACACGAAAATGCGGCATGCCACCCCAGTCGGACCCAGACGCCGTGGCGTGCCGGAAACGATGCACGATGCCCAGAGAATCTTCCTGATCGAGCTGTGCTATAACGCCACCAGCCCGCCGGATATCCCATATGCGGGCCTTGCCGTCTGCGTGGCCACTGACGAGGATGTGTTCATGGCGAGGACTCCACGCCGTGCTGAGAACTGGACCACCGTGGGCAACGAGGGCCTGGACAGCGGATCCCGACTTGAGGTCTACGAGCCGGACATTGGAGTGCTGGGTGGCGCACGAGATAAGCAGGTGACCTGCTATTGGGCTGGAGGCGTGGGAATATACGGTGGCGTTGAGGTCGAACTCGGCAGACAAGGCTGCTCGTGAAGTGGCCCACAGCTTCAGTGTCTTGTCGTAGGAGCTAGAGAGGAAGGCATCGGGGTCGAAAGGGTAGAAGGCCAGATGCGTGATGCCGTGGCTATGGCCTCCACTTCTGGGACCTCCCGTAGACCGAGTGATGGATCCTACGGGGCGAAAGGTGCGAGTTTCGTACGGGCTGGGGCAGCTCTCCAGGTCCCAGAGCTTGATAGACCCGTCTGCACCACCAGACAGCAGGATGCGGCCGTCAAACTTCTCCAGGGCAAGACCGCTCACCCCTACGCCGTGAGCGCGAAGCCTGTGCGGCCGGTCCTCCAATTCGGTCTGCTGATCATTGTTGGACAGGGTAGCCTCGCCGTTGAAGCGGTGTTGAGGTGCTGGTTCAAAGGAACGCAGAAGCTGAGATGCAACGATCCGGGTGAAGTCGCGACAAGGCAGATCACCCACTTCGCGGGCCAGCAGACGAGACTGCATTCATCTGAGGGTCCTCGCCAACCGTCCAGGCAGATTGCTGAGATAGATGCCGTCTCTTGGAGTTATACAGCAGCTACGTAGCGCTAATAGCAGCACTGTTGCGTTGAGCGTGAAGTTGAGATTGAGTCAAAACGCATGGAGCACATGTCACAAGTTGCGTGGGTGATGTCACCAGCTGGGCGGTCAGAGGCTAACCCCACAAATGCTATTGGTGCTAGTACCGCTCCACGCGCAAACTTTCTTTTGACGATAATCTTTTATTTTCATCTGTCAACGACGCTTCAACTGCCGCCAACAACGGCTGCTTTTCCTCTTCATTGCCCCCAGCCGGTCCCATGTACAGCTGCCATGGTCTGCTCGATACGGCTTAGTTGTCTTTTTGCGCCACTTTGCAACCCGTGAGTGAGGACGGGGGCAAGGGATCGTCCCGACTAGGTGCACATCAAAAAAAGCACAGGCCAAGGGTGAGGTGAGAAAGGACGGGAAAATCCTTCCACGGAGGACAAAGGAAAACCATGGACTCTACAGATGAATACATGCAGTCATCTGCTCCCAGAGCTGCCGACAGAGCTGCCGACATCGGGGACTCGCCGCCCGTGCCGCAGCCGTCCCAGGGCAGCCGTCGCCAGGGTCAGCGCATGCTGGCTACCGTATACGACGCAGTTGCAGGTAAGCTAAAGGGATCCGAAATGAGCCTCTCCCGGCAGTTTGGAAATCACCGTCACGTGAAATTGACCGTATGCAAGGAAGGGTCACCTATGATGGAGTGTTGCGAGATGAGGGCCCGGACCAGAGGAAATTTCAGCCCGGGATCGTCGACCAACGATCGGCGCGAGATGGCTTCAAGCTTGCTCCAGATGATGTCTTGTTTCGCCGCAAGGACGCTCCGGAACGCTATGCAGAGCATGACATCTACCGCGCGCACGACTGGGAGCTGCCCAACGGCGGCCAGGGCGTCTTGCCACAGAGCGATCTTCTCAAGGCCATTCACGAGTACTCATCCGAATTCTACGGAGCCCTGAACCGCAACCAACGGGTGCTCGAAAGTGGGCGTAATTTGGATGAGCGTAGCATGGATGAGACGGCGCTGTTGGCACTGGGTATCCTGCTGGAGGAGGCGGGGCGAGAGGTTCTAGGTCGACGAGGCCATCTCGTCTTCACTGAGGGCGACGCCCAGGATAATCATGACGACGGCAGCGGTGAGCAGGAGTGGCAAGGAGGCAGTGCGGCGCAGGACTCTGGCGGTGATTCTGTGGTGGGCCATGAAGACTCCAGGCCCCGACAGCCGGGGCGGAAACGAAGAAAGCTTGCGAAAGCAGATGACGACTAATTGTAACGTTGGCTCGGTATTGCTATGATGAGATTGTCACTCTGCAGGGACTCTGCCGTGGAAAAATCTTGATTTTCAGCGCAAATAAGAGCCATCCCTTTATCCCAAGTCGGTTCTCGCTGAGGGGAAGCCAACTGTCCAAGTGCCGAAACAAGTCCGTATTTTCGAAGATGCACCTGGCCCCGTTGCCTCATCCAGTCAAGCGATGCTGCTGTTTGGTGAAGGCCAAGGCAGGAAATGACGAGTTATGCCTAGAACACCAAAACAGCTCTCACTGCCGATGCGAAGAGATTATGTTGCTCAAAAGGACCCCCGGGGTAAACTGTTGGCTCCAGCACGAGAAGAATCCGGAATAGTTACTGCATGATGGATCACACTCTACAGAGCACCTCGGTGGCTCGACTAATAATATGATACACGTACTGATTACAGCTCGATGAATTCATTTGAACAGGCGTACCCAGCGCAACGGGGGCTAGGTGATGACGGGGCCTATTTTTTACCTTTATTGAAATATACGCAATCTGTATCACTAGGACTGATACAGCCGTATCATGGCATTCCCATCCAGTGAAGCAGTATTTCGACACAATCTCGTCGTATTTGCAACGAGGATATGCCGCTGGAATGCCCATCAGGAGTGGTTGTTGGTTCTCCCAAGTGACGGAGCCTTGAATGTTGCATTATATGTGGAACTAGATTGCCAGCCGAATACAAATACGGTGTACAGAACGGGTCAGTACGTACCGCTTCGCAACAAAGACCTGACGAAGCAGTTTAAGGGGAAGAGATGTATGTACGAGTACAATAATAGATTCACGCGTATTTTCTCTTGGTCCAAGAAGCAGGTGGTCCAGCTCCGTAATTTACCTTGGCATCTACAGCAGCTTACAACTCACATCTGACATGTGCTTGTATATTCATCTCACAAGTATGCAAGGAGTCAGTCTAAAGAGCATCACACGGTTCCCTTTAGTACAGACCTTTATTTTTTCTTCGGTATCCCCAATACATCTTAGGCATCATCTACCGAGCGAGCCCCGGGACGAAAGCGCAATGCAAACACCAAAACTCGAAACTCCCAAAATGTGGACTGACTTTAGGTTGCAACTAACACTTGATGCGAGCTGGCTCGTCCCGTTCCCAAACCACCGGAGGGGGTGCCGCCAAAGAAACAAAGAAGAAAAAAGCCCCCAAGACTGGCACCGGAACCGAAAGGATCTGCTTCAGAGTTGCGCATGTGGCTTGCTTTTTTTTTTTTCTCCCTTTTTCCTTTTTGTCTCTCATGTACGGAGTACATTAGCAAGTGCATGTGACGTGCCAAATAAACGAGCCGTCCCGTCTCCTTGTCCAGTGGTCTCCCGTGAGGCCGCATTGGCTTGGGGCCGGGCCAGCCTCACGGGAAGAAAAGAAGAAAAAAAAAAAGCAAATGACGGGATGAAATGCGGCAAATGATCGACATGCGTCACGAGCTTGCGGCCCAATGCGCTTGCCGTGACGATCTCTTTGCCCAAAAAGCAAATAAAGAATCAAGAAAGAGAAGAGAGACTTATACAACATGACGCAAAGCAAAACAAAAACAACCAACGCCGAGTACTCGTACACTTGACAGAGATAGAGAGAGAGTCGGGAGGTCCAAAAGCTCCGTTAACACCCCCCTGCACACCCTCGCGAAGAACTGCCCGGTTGGGTCTGGGGATGATAACTGCTACCGCTGTATAATAGACACACCCAAGAAAGAAGCGATAATGGCTGGCCCGCCTACCTGCATGCAGACCGAATGCACGATGGGCGAGGCTAATCACGCGGCCATGCTTCTTATGTGGGTAGAAAGAGCTTGTCGTTGACCGAAGTTGCTGCGGGAGTCCAGTTCACTTCACTTCACCACGCTTGGGACGTAACACACATTTCGCGTGTCATGGGTTATGACAGTAACACTTGTACTTGTGCTTGTTCTTGTCTTCAAGGCGAATGACTCGAGATAAGAAGAAGAAGGGAAAATAAAACCGGCAGCCCGAAATCAAAAGTGCTTGATAATACGGCATTCGCCGTCCTTCTCCACACAACCAAAAAGAAAGAGACGGGAGCCATATGCCCAAATCCAGCGTCACGCGTGCCTCACGGATCTGCGCTCTGGGTGCAAGTATAGTGTAGTAGACTGAAACCAACATATTAAAAAAAACAAGGCAAAAGAGAGAAGAGAGAGAAGGAAACACATCTCACAACGCCAAAAACCAGTCACATCTCGAAACAGAACGCCGTGCCCCGGTCAAGAGACCGGATCAGTGACCGTTTCCGTTTGTTGGTCGCTGTCAGTCAAATCTCACCTCGCATTTGCCCCACGCTCTCTCTCTCACTCACCCCCAGAGCTGGCTCGTCAACTTCTCACCTCCAAAATCTAGACTTCATCACAGAAATGGGGAGACAGTAAAAAGAAAAAGAGACAAAAACGTCCAATATCAATGTACTGCATGCGTTCAAGCGAGGCTTATTTCTGTGCAGCCTGATTTTGAAACTCACATCATACCACAACACCAGGCTGGGAGCCTCTCCGCCTATTATCGGCCAACTTTGTCAAGGTGTGGCAGCCCAAGGATACGCTCGACTGGGGTCGTAGTCCATCTTAGTCCCAAGCCACTTAGAACCATCAAAACTCAACGGTTGTCCGTTGGAATCCCGTGGGTTTCGATACGGTGCAATACCAACTTTCAAAGGTACCCGAATAGCCGCTGTGCTCGGGAACAATAACTTTACCAAAAACACTAAACCAGCCCATCTCACCATGTTTCGTTTTTCGGTCATCGTATTTTTGGTCTTCATCCTTCCCCCTCCCCTGGTCCCCTTCTATCCGCTCCACTAGGGCCAGCTTAGGCTGTACTTGTATGCTCCGAAGGAGCGCGTATAACTACATACATGTCAGGTATCCAATTGCTCCGAACCAGCACCCAGGACCTGGGTTCCGTCCTGTACCCGGTTCTTGTGTTCTTGGATCCCAACCCGTTTCTCCACACCAAAAGGTTAAGAGTAATTTCGTCTTTCTGGGTATCTGACAGGGAAGCCTGAAAGAATCTTCTTTTTCGACATGGATCTTTGACTTCCATTCGCAGTAAAGTCTTCGTCGACCAAAGCAGAAATTCGTCAATCTGACAATGAACTCGCTCCAACTAACCGTCTATTCCGTACTCCGTTGATTGAGCCGTAATTTAACACAAAACAAATCAAACCCAGCAAAAAAAAAATTTGACCCGAGAAAAAATAAGGCAAATTGCTGGAGAAGAGAGCCGAGAGCGGTTGGCCCCTACGCAGCCTAGAGACAAAAGGAAAAAATGATATCGTTCACACCTGTACTCGTACAAGTGCATGTCAGCAAGAGAGTACAGACACCGCCCTGTCACATTCGGGTGATTTTGTACTAGCCCATCACCAACAGCGTATCTGGGATGTCCCTTGAAAGAAAGCTTACGACTGCGGTGAACAAAGACAGTGAACCTGTTCGGGTTCGAGTTCAGTATGCCGAGGGAACCACTCCATAGCTAGATGAAACAAAGAGGCGGCAGAGAGCTCCCTTCGGGTATACTCATGCACTCTGAGAGGCGTTGAGGAAATCTCTTTTGTACGCCGTCATGCAGATACTGCTCCATCTTCTACTTCGTACGTACCTTGTTGGTAT